TCTTCTCAATAGTTATGAGTACCTATCCCTACTGCTAATGAGATTGAATACCATTTCGTTAACTTCATATGAATTATTATTCATGTCCACATTTCCTGTAGCATGTTCTTCATCTGCTAATTAATTTGAGGATTCTTTATGATCAATAATCTTTATCTACTATTGGAGATCTTTTGCTACCATGGTTTGGGCTTTTGAGTAATTATAAAAGACTTCATCTTTCAAGATTATAGACAATATTCTACTGTCTTTGTTTTATATGACTTTATTATATTTAAAATTTGAAATCACCTAAACATTTTTATATTAAAAGCAAAGTCTTTTTTTACTAAAAGTGTAGGCAGTTTGCTTATTTAACAATCTCTTTTCCTACTGAAAAGCCATTTTTATGACCCACAAAATAAGAAGGACTTTTAGAGTCTGTTTTTTTCTAGTGATCCATTCTCACATGGGGTAATATGACCACTATGATTCTAGTAACTAACTTCTGAGAAAAATTTCATATCTGCTGGGACTGGCTCTAACTCATTTTCTTTTCTGAATTTTTTCTGGCAATTTGCCTTTTTTTTCTCTCCTTAAAAATCCTTTAGAACTATTTTGTCAAGGTTCTAAAAATCCCTATGGAGATTTTGTTGTAAATTGCTTTGAACTTTTCAAGAATGAACAGAGACTCTTTACATGACTCTGACCAAGAATCTTTTGAGTACTGCTTTATGTTCCCCAGGGCAGCATTCTACTTTTCTTTCTAAAAGTCTTGATGTTTCTTATAATTTTGGTTGCTTATATTTTACTACGTGTTAAGGTAGTAATAATAGTAGTGTTGCAACTGTGAATATTTTTGATGGATCATTATTAATTCGATTTTTATAAATTTATTACATAATCCACCACTCTTCTAAATTCATTAATGTTTTTTACATTTGTGGTTTTTCCTTTTCCAGGTTTTTATAACACAGATGCAAATGATTCTTCTGCATATTCCTTTCCAAATCAAATTACATGAAATTTAAAACCATAAAGGATATGTTATATTACTAGTAAGATGACAAAATTGATACAATCAGTGAAAAACAGTTTTGTTTAACTCAAGAAAGTTTCCTGTATTGCTTCTTTCATTTTGCTTGGATACTATTCAAGTATACCTATAATCCCATATGCATTTTCACTTGTTTGCTCTGTCATATTTTTTCTGCACCTTTTTTCCTGTGTACTCTTGGAAAGTTACTAGGTTTATGCACGTGGCCTTACTTGTATTCCCACTTGCACCTCCTTTGGGAATTTGTACTGAGGCTTGTCTTCGGATCCATGTTTCATGATGCTCCCCTCTTATTCCTCCCCTTTCTCTCTACTCACTCTTTATGACTAATAAGAAATACATTTTAAAACTTCTTTGTTCCACGTGGCACACTAAGTGCTATACAGCCATTATCTTACTTACGTTTCATTTCATAACTTTTACCCTATGTTAATTAGCAAAGTAAGGCTCCAAATGATTAACTAATCATTTTAGGACCCCATGGCTGATCAGTAACAGAGCTAGGATTTAAAGCCAGGTTTTTCACCTCTCTACCCCATGCTCTTAACAACTGTATCAGAGAATTTTGTAACGCCTTCATTCGTCTCATCTGTCTCTAAAAGAGCTCAGCTCCTTTCAGATCAATACTCAGAGGGAAGCAGTATAAATTCCTTAAATCAGAAAGTGTGAGCATTTCTGCTCCAGTTCTTGGATGATCTGGCTTCGCCCCAGTCAGACAAATGTTCTTTGTAGTGCTGAATTCTCTCCAGCATTTGCTCCAACCCAGGGACCTCTGTTCTCAATCCATATGCAATGCTTTCTCTATGGTGACTGCACACCTGTCACAGGTACTAAAACAAGTACCTGGGATAATCAGCTCAAAGAGAAGGCTGTGGAGTTCCAGTCCATAGTTAGTAGGGCCTGTTGCTTTTGAGCTTGTAGTGAGGCAGTGTATCCTGCAACCTGCCTCACCATACGATAGAAGAAATGGGTGTCTAAATATACTGCTGGAGGACATGCCCTCAATGACCTAAAACCTCTCACTAAGCCCTGCCTGTTTGAGGTCCAACCACCTCTAGGGAAAGTTTAACATTTGGACTTTGGGGAATATATCACACCTAAAAATAGCAACCTGCTAGGTATAAATTTCTCTCCCCCTTCTTCATCTGTTGCTTCACCGAAAATTGAAACTTGCAACGTCTAAAGAACACATGAAAGCAAGTTGAAGGAAATCATGACACGGGCACAGATGTCAACTCCAAATAGCTCAGATGATTTTGGAGCAACAAGGAATGTGGTTTTCCACCCAGCATAGCTCCTGCGTCCTGAGTTAGGCACAGCAACTGAGACTTTTTCCTGTATACCCGCAGGTGATGTGGCTCAGTGAATCCAGTGATTGATCTCACAGTTAAAAATTCCTAATGATTTTGGCACAGGGTCTGCTTTTTACTTTTATTGTATTATTGCAGTTTTTATGGATATTTTTACATGAAGTCGAGAAGGAATAAATCAGAGACTGCTAACGTGTGGGCACGCTCGCCACATGTTTAATGGACATCTGTGTCACACGATGGTTTGGAATTAGCATTAGACTGATTCTTAAATACACATGGACCGTCCTCACCTGTGATGGACAGGAACCAGAATGAACCTTGGTTTCTGCCATATATTTACTAGTCTTTTTCCTCGGGTGTAGGAGGTGCTCATAATGAGCCCTTTAGAACAGTATATTTGTCCTATGACAATTTTAAAATGACACCTTCATAAAACACTGTGTTAAAAACTGTTACTAGAAGATATACTAAGGATGGAGCTGAGGTGTTTTCTTGTCTGTAAAATGCGGCTGAGCAAGCCAGGTCCAAGTGACCCGATAAGTTTCGTTATTCTTGGGAGTTATGTGGCATGGGAAAAAAAAGGCTTTGTGAATATCAAAAACCTCTTGGCATGCATGTAATTTCCACTTTAATAATACCGAGGTAAGGACATTATAAAACACAATCTGATTTTTCTCCTTTCCAGAAGCACCCAAAACATTTTTTACCTCTGTGATCAAAGCTATTATGGAATAGAGAGCTAAAAAATGCATTTGAAGTATTAAATGTGTGGTTGGAAATTCTAAGCTACATTAAGTATCTGTCTTCCGTGTCCCTGCCACTCCTAATAATGGCTGGTTATATGTGCCAACATAAAGTCATCATGCTTTATTAATGTGCTTACATAAAATTATGTTCAATGTAAGTAAAAGTGAGTTCTCTCAGTGGTACACATAGGCTTCATCCAATGAGTTGAAAGCTTTGAGAGCTAAAACTGAGATTTTCCTAAGATAGAATTCTGCCTCAATACCCCAACATAGAAATCCTACCCACCCTTGACTTGTCACAACATGTATGAATTCTTTCAAACAAATCTCCTAATGTATGTATGTTTCTCTGAAGAACCCTGTCTAACACACTCCAAAAAATTTTGAGTTTTGACCTTCTTGTTGAATCAAGAAACTAAAGATATGGACCATGCCCCTGGGCTAGTTAACACTGCCAAATTATAGTACAGTGCCTTCTCAGACTCTAAGTACTCAGTAAATAATTGTTGAGCTAATGGATGAATAGAATAACTTCCTTTTAAAAAGCTCCCCAGATCAGGACATGGGAGAGAACTGAGGTGAGGATGATGAATGGATTCAGAACCCAGAAATTCCAGGCAAAATGAAGCTTAACTCCTAAGGAAGCCAAAGGGAGAGTCAGCTAGGAAAGCCAAAGACCTGAAGGTAGCTTCAGGTCAACAACCTACTTAAAAAAATAAATTAAAGTCAATTGAATTTGAAGCTCCTAGTCATATGACCCTTGGCATATTTCATCTTTTGGAACTCAAGTGTAGTTGATCAATTTGGTCTCCAACACATTATAAAAGTCTAGGTCACAGAATTCAGAGCAAACAGGAACAGAAATCCAAAAGATAATGCTCTCTCTCTCTCTCTTTAATATATATATATATATATAAAACTTTACATCAAGGATAAGCACCAACAATTAAAGTAGCCCTAAGCCTTAACCAGTATATGTGATTGGCTATGAGCTGGGACAAAGCTAGAGCTAGAATCATAAGGATATTCATGTAGAACATATGCCCAACACTACACAGTCATAAATGTGGCAGTTCATTCATGCTGTTTGCGTGACTTTGTCTTCAAAATTAGTTGAACTGCATCAATGAATATGAAGTAATGAGATAGTATGCTTAGCTTATTGTTTTCTTTTTTTTTTTTTTTTTTTTTTTTGGTCTTTTTCATTTTTATTGGTATCGGGGATTGAACTCATGACTGCCTGCTTACAAGGCAGGTGCTTATGCTGCTGAGCTAAATCCCCAGTCCCCACGCTTAGCTTATTGTATAGCTGAGGCCAATGTGCAAACATTATGCTGACTTTTAAAGAATTATTATTTCTTTATCATTGTGCGTGTAAAAGAATTCTCCACTTTAAGGAGCACATACAGTGCTAGTCTATAGATTAAAATCTTTGCTTTTTTGAAACTTTTGCCCAAAATGTTATTTTACAGGGTACTTTGACCTGTAAAAGACACAGTGAATGAATATAGAAAATGCTAATGGCAAAAACTACATGCGTCAGAGAACAGAGCTAGAGACCACTGATACCTTGCAGTTACAGAAATCAGCGGTTACACTATCAATGCAGGACTCTGTTCAAAATAGAACATTCTACATTCTACAGAATAAATCAGGTAAGAACGTCAACCAGGAAATGCAGCAAAAACCAGGAAGATGTGTTCACATGATGAAAAACAAAAATGAAAATAAATCACCAAAACTTATTTTCTTGGACATAACACTGATGGCAAGATGTCTAAAAGGTTATACCCCTACTTAGTTTAGTGAAGGCTTCCAACACAGGACACCATTAGTAAGCAACCATTAGGTATCAGAAGTAATGTGACGCATGTACTACATAAAGCCAAACTAGGTGACACAAGATTGCTCTGTAGAATTTATTACAGATTATTGTGTTATGAAACAAAAGCAGATCGTCTTAATATGTCCAATTTGTGAAATTGTTAAATAAAAAATTTTTAACTCACATCACACCAAAAAAGATAACTAAATCTACTCTGAAAATCTAATCAATCATGAAATGTTTGCTTGGTGACTCTCTTTCCAGCTTCATAGACTCAACAGACTGCTGCCTTCAGAGAACTTATGGTAGGTCACTGACAATCACCCAGTAACGCAGTGAATTTTCCACTGTTTAGAGAAATATTAGGAAACTCAACAAATTTCTTGGGATGTTATTTATTCATTCTTTGTAAGTAACTGTAAATGAGATTAGTTTGAAAAGGGATTTTTTTTGGTCCAGAACGTCTGTGGGGTCCAATTAGCTATGGGCTAATCTGAACTGATTAATGAGCATTTAATAAAGATTAGCAGTTTTGGCAATCAGTCTTACTTTGAATTAGCATGTTTCAGTCAATGGCACAGAATTAAGCAAGTATCAGTTAAGAATTTCTGAAATGTACACCAATGCCAAGTGCCCACTACCATGTTCTTTCCTATTGCAATGATTCCTTGACTTAAGATAGAAGGCACTAAAAATGATTACCATCATAAACTTTACTCCACCATCTTTGCTTTAAAGAAAAATCTTGTTTTGTTAAGGCAAATTCACTGAATCAAATAATTGTTAGTGACAATGTAAAGAAGATGGAGGAAAGAAAATCACTTAATATCGCTGGAAGCCCACAAAAGCAGCATCACATCAGAAGAACCGTTTTTCCAACAGTGCCACTGCTATGAATGATATTTTCATGAGCTTGGGAAGCCTTCTCCAGTGGGTACTGAGACCCAATCACGGGCTTCACCCAACCAAGTTCCATTCCTGCTTGAATAGTGGATGCAAACTGCTGAAATTCTTCCTAAGAGAAAGAAAAACAAATCTGTTGCAGTGGACCATATGATTTAAGTTTCAGAAGCACTGAAAAAAACTTCAGAATTAAGAAATATACCACAAAGAGCCTCTTAAAAATTTGTGACTCTTGTAAACTTGTCCAAAACTACATAAAACATAATTCTCTGAAGGATAACCGTTAAGTTCCATTTGCCTGGAAGAATGTTAGTTTACAAAAAAAAAAAAAAAAAAAAAAAAAAAAAAAAAAAAAAAATCCACCATCTTAATTATTAACATTATTCCCTTTCTCTCTCAAGTGTCTTGACTTACGTTATAAATTAGACTGTTCTATTACCCAGTGAATAACCTTTACTTACTTCCTCTAGTCAGATAAGTAAGCTTCAATTCCAACTTTTGGTCTATTGACATTTAAAGTACCAAATTACCAAATTATCCAAATCACTTCTTTTCTCACCTTCGTTGATGAAAACAGAGAAACTCCACTTATGGTAGACTCCTTTGCCATGGTGTCCCGTGGGTTTATTTCAATGGAACCTCGGCAGCCCACAATCTATCATGGAAACAATATGCCTGCAGTTAAAGATTACTGCAAAATAGTGTTAAACTGTGGTGAAACTTTGAAGTGGTAAAGAAAACTTTACTTACGATCACTCGTCCTCCACAGGACAGAAGTTTCAAATCATTGCTAAGATTTACGTTAGCTAACATTTCAATAATCACATCAACTCCTTTTTCACCAATGGATTTCTGTTTAGTAAAAAAGAATGTAGAGTAAGATAACAAGTGAAAAACACTATAAAATACCTATTAAGAGTGTCATATTTTACAGAAACTATTTCCAAATGACATGTAAAATGTTACCTTTTAAAGACTAACAATGCAAAGTTTTAAATGACATAGTTATATAAAGATGATCCGATTTCAAGGTACCAGCTAAACAGTAGGTACTGGTACAACTCTAAAGTGATAAAGATTTGTACTACATAGATTGCTGTATGACACAGAATTTGCCTGGAATTTTCAAGTGCTACACTCAACTGGAATATAAAATACTTTTTCCTTAGCTAAAACATCTTCTATCTCCAAAATGAACCTTTGTAGAGAAATAAACAACAAATAAAAAAATTCAAGCCTTTCAGGGAACTCCCATTTTTATTTAAAAGTAAGAAAGAATATATGCACGCACTGGCTGCTTGGTATTGCAGGATGTGTGTGTAGGGCGGGGGTAAATTGTATGTGTGTGTATGTGTGTGTGTGAGAGAGAGAGACAGGGAGTGTGTACATATGCACACACAAGCATGTGAATGTTTGGCTGTGATCTAAATGATGTACAATCTGCTTGTCATACTAATTTTCTTCTTTTGATTCCCAACATCTAAAACTGGAATTTAAGAAAAGCTAATACATATTTGCATTATATTTATTTTAACAAAAAACAGTTTTTGTGCCAGGCATTATGCTAGAAGGCAAAGAATGAGCATATTGAGCTCAGAAACATAGGAAGAAAGAAAATGTTACAATTACAGCTAACATGCAATGGCCGACATGCTACATTAGCAGAAATAAGCCCTAAATTGAAGAAAAAGCTAAAGTGTGATTGCCTGTAATGCTTGAACAAAGTTCCATAGATGCTCACCTGGATCCTGAGGCATGAAAAGGAATTTAAGCAAAGAACGATGTCTCAGTATAAGAAACTAAAACACAAAGACTATGAGGAGAGTTTGAGAAGGAAGAGTAGCAAAAAAAAAAAAAAAAAAAAGGAAGTGTTATTCAGCTTTCTGTTAACACAATGAAATATCTGAGATAATCACAATCTTGGAAGTTTCTGTTGATGGTCCTGTTACTTTTAGTTCTAGCAAGGGCTGGAGGGATGACAGAACAAGCCTCTCACCTCATGGTGGCCAAGCAACTGCGAGAAATGTCTTAGTTACTTTACTTGTTGCTGAGACACAATACCTGCCACCTGCCACCTGCCACCTACCGCTTAGGAGAGGAGGGTTTTAGTTTGGCTCACAGTTGTAGAGGGTTCAGTCCATAGTCAGTTGGCTGAAAGGTAGGGAGGCATGGCAGAGGAGGCTTGCTCATGGCAGTGTGGCAGGAAGCATTAAGATCAAAGGGGAGGGAAGATGACAGATTCTTCCTGACCATTCTCCCAGTGACCACCTCCTCCAACCTGGCTTTACCTCCCAATGTCATCTTTGCATTAACATTTCTATGATCCAGGCACCTCCAACAAACCCCACTTATAAGCCCCTGTGCCTCTGAAAGGACATCTAGATATAAACCATAACAAATGAGAAAGAAGGGTGACCAAGGTCCTAGTATCACCTTGGAGGGGGTGCTTCCATATGACCAAAAGACTTCCAACTAGTCTTTTACAGGTTCCACTCTCTCCCAACACTGCCAGGGTCAGGGTGGGAGTCTCAAACTTTTAACACAGGGACTTTGTGGGATGCTCATCCAAAGCAGAAGAGACTGTCAATGGGTACAGACTGTGAAAATACACTAAATGCCACGCTAAGGAATTTGGAAACATAAATATTTTTTAAAGCAAGTGTTCATTAATCCATGTGCCAGGCACTGTGTTAGGCACTGTAAGAGCAATTGAGAACATGAGAGAAAATTTCCTCTAGTAAAAGAGATCATATTTTAGTTATTCTGGAGGGATTTTGTTTATTTTGTTTTGATTTTTTTAAAGGACAGGTGAAAATATAAAAGGAAATACTATCTCAAATATGAGTAATAGCTAAGGCTGGGGATATTGAGACCTAAGCTAAGTCACGATATGATATGGAAAGAGGTTCATATCAAAGACAAATCAGAGATAACACTGGTAGAATGAAGAAACCAACTTGATGGGTGGGAAATGGGATGGTGATTAAAAGGTATAAAAACTGAAAAGAGAGTTTCTGTCTTGGGTGAGCAGATGAGTGGTAACCTCTAGAAAGCTGACAGCATACAGCAGAGGAACTCAGGCCAGAGATAGTTTCGGAAATCCAGAGCATGTGGGTAAGAAGTGGTGCCATGATGCCTGGTCAGTGAGGTTGACCCGGATGGACCAGCACGTGGAAGAAGAGACTAAAGGAAAACCTAGAGACACTAATACATAAGCAAAGTCCAAAGAAAATGGATTGAAAGTGAATTGTCAGAGAGGTAGGAAGAGAATCAGCCTCAAAGTGATCCAAACAAGGTCATGTGCTCCAGAAAAATCAAACAGAAGGACTTGGACAAGCCCAGCAGACTAGTGACTACAGGCATCAGTGACTTCTTGGCAGCAGTTTAAGTAGTTGGGATGAGGGTAAAATTGCAATGGGAGGTGAGGGAGGAAAAGTAGATAAGTTCTCTTTACTTCCTTTAGAAACCTGATGGGAAAAGGGAGGAGAGAAAAGGAGTGAGCTGATAGGATAAGGGAAGGACGCCTAGAAAGATGGGGAGAAATCTAAGCAATGGTAATCAGTGAAAAATATAGGACGCTCCAAGATCATGGCCTTAAAATTAGGTTACTGCCAAACAACAACAACAAAAAAAAAAACGTTCATACCATTTGTCAGTGAGGTAAATAGTGTAGATATTCTTGCAGAATGGTATCGGCGCTATGTAATGGGTCCTAGGTTCCCTGGACACACATAGAGGATCATCTTTGCTTAGTGCTTTGGCAAAAGGGGTGAGTGATAATGAACTTTCACTCATGCTTTTCATCAGCTAGTAATAACCTGGTTTGCATCATATCCACAACTTGGGAAATTCTAATTCTTCTCAGGGTCTTTGAAGACTAGCAAAGTAATCACTTTAGTCAACTGGGACTAGAGGAACTTCAGAATCTGTTGGAACTCTTATGCAACAACTACATGCTACCAGTTGAATGAGACAGTAATTATCCCTCCCAAGAACACAGGTAATAAATAAAAAATTTATTTCCTGCCTAGAGAGATCCAGTTTGTATTCTCTGAATTTTCACCTGTCATGAAAACATGACATCTGTAAATACAAAGCTGCAGCTTTACTTAAAATGTGATTAGCATTAAAGAACATCAGTCTGTATAGCTATAAGACTCTAGAAAGGTTACATTTAATATACACACAATATAGTAATTGCAGTGAATGCTGTGAAGTGAACGGCTGTTTAATTAAAACACACATAGTCACAAAAACACATGTAGGCATACAAGAAGCAAGTAACGTTAAGATTGGTTAATGAACAAGTTGATAAAAGTCATTTATGTTTCCAATAAAAAATGTGCAACTTCTGTAAAACTATAGAAAATTTTACCTTGATTTCATCAATATAATGAGCGTCTCGGTGATTAAATACTTCATGGGCTCCATTTTGCAAAACGACCTTTTGTCCCTCCTCAGTACCAGCTGTCCCCAAAACCTTTAAGCCATAGGCTCTAGCAATCTGGCATGCTGCCAATCCAACCTAAAAAATAAATATATGTAACCCAGTTATATATTCTCTGCATTGCTGCAAGCATGGATTAAACATCTATATAAAATGAAGTTAGGATTCTTTTAGGACTTAACCTATCCTGGAAGAACTTACAGCATACATGAAGCAATAAGAAAAATAAAAGGGCTTTTATATTGTAATTTTCTGTGTATAATATTAAATCTTATACGTATTGCTTCATTTCATCCTCAGGATACTGCTATGAAGTGGACATTATCTGTCTGTATGTCTATGATGAGGAAGCTCAGACTTCAAAACAACAAATATCTTGCCCAAGTCACACATAGAGAAGGAACAGAGTTGCACCGAACTCAACTGCAGACCTGGCACTGTTACCCGCGGCACCACAGCGTTCTGCTGTGCACACAGGAACTGTAAATATGATCTGAACATGTTTTTACACCCGCAACTAAGTAAACAACTACTACTAAATAACAAGGGCATCTATTTCTCAAGCAAAAGAGAAAGTTATCTGGGCACATTCAGCCCTATGCTCATTATGATTTAAATACGACCTGTCCCCTAAAGACGCCTAAATTGAGGGCTTGATTGCAGATGCAACAGTGTTCAGATGCAGGGCCTACAAAGGTGACTGGATCGCAGCTGTCCTAATCTCATCCATGGTTCGTAGATAAATGGGTGTTTGGAAGGGAGGGCCCAGCTGCAGGAAGGAGATAACTGGGGTCAGGGATGCCGCTGAAGTTGTATTTACTCTCAATCCCTTCCTCTCTCCTCTTCACCTGTGCTTCCTGGCTGCCATGAGGCGAGCAGGGCTCCCCTTCTGCCACACCTCTCTATCATGATGTTTCTTTCTTCTCATGGGCCTAAAAGCAACAGAGAAAGCTGACCAGAGACCAAAACTTCTGAAGCCTCTGAAGCCTCTGAAGCCTCAGCCAACACACACCTTTCTTCCAAGCTGTGTACCTCAGCTCTTTGGTCACAATGATGAAAAGGTAACAGGACCCTGCCTGACTGCTGAGTGCTTATTATGCAGGAATCGTGGAGAAACTTACGTTCTAAGCAGGGGGGAGGTCAGAAATGCATGCATAAATAAATGCATAAAATAAACCCAGAAAATAGTAAGCACTAAAAAAATTAAGACTATTGTATCAAAAAGGATTAGGAGAAGGGATTCTGAGGTCATCAAGGCCGGCCGCTTTGCAGAAACAGAAATGAAGCGGGGAGGAAGTAATCACAAAGCCACAGGGAAAGCAGGGCAGTCACGGAGGCGCCAGTGTGGATGGAAAACACAGCCAAGGCAACCAGATGAAGTGGAAATGTGCTCAAGGAAGCAGAGGACAGAAAGAGGGTCGATGTGGCTCAGAGACAGCACATGAGAGACATCAGCAAAGGGAGGCGAGTGACACAAGACCATGGAGGTTCTGGACTACACTAAGAGCTACACAGAATCATTAAGGGTGCAACTGGGGGAAGCGCACGATCAATTTAGACTTTAGGAAAGGTGACTGCATCCTAATGGAGGCTCGGGAGGTAAGAAAGACCAAAGAAGGCCACGTTTGTGTTTGGGTGGGAAAGATGGCCGCAGTACTTTTTGTTACCTGATGGATGCAGTTTGCAAACAAAAATGAAATTTTGTTAGACGCTTCTGCCTGTGAGTCAAACTGTTTGCAAACAAAAGTGTTCGTGAATTGAGGTACCACTGCATGACTCCAAAGAATTCAGAGCTGGAGGCATCAAAAAAAGTTCATCGTCTTCCAGATGATATTTAAAGCCAAAGGATGGAATGAAACCACTAGAAACACCAGAGATGTGTGCTTAGCATAAAAGGGAAATAAAAGTAAAATTCAGGAATACAGAGCAATTATTTAAGCAGTAATGCTGGGAAATACATTTGATTATATGTCAAATGAATGGCACAGGTAAGCGTCACACTGTGAGAGCAGAGTTTCTGAGCCTGGCACTGGTGACCTTCTTTGGCTGGTATTTCCAGGAAACTCTTCCTTATGGGGATTCTCCTGAACTTGGAAGGAGGGTTTGACAGCATTCCCAGATTCTCCCCATTGGATTCCAGAATCTTCTTCCTCAGGGTGACAACCAGAAAGTATGTCTAGACATTGACAGATGTCCCAGAGAGGAAGAGGGAAAGATGCAAAATCACCCCCTATTGATAACCACTGATCTAGTGGAAGGATTGGGTTGGGTAAGAGAGAAAATAATTAAAATGAAAAATGATGAGAGGAATCTGCTAGCAGTGTAGCAGTTGCAAACTCCCAAAACTGAAATGTACCTTACAGACGAAGGCATACAGAACCAATGAGTCTGAACTCAGCCAGCCTACGGCAGGGATCTGTGTGATCTAACAAATGTGTAGAACTCTCTGTGTCAGCCTGAAGACAGATATCCAGTTATACAAAATATGAGCCACCATGGGGTCAGCACAATTGACTTCTATGCTAATTTTCACTATAAAAAAACAGACCTGTGAGGCCGGAGATTTAGCTCAGTGGCACAAGTGCCTGCCTGGCAAGTGCGAGGTTCTGAGTTCAATCCCCAGTACCAAAAAAGAAAAGAAAACAAAACAAAACAGACTTGTAACAAAATCACATTTTAAACTAAAGATTTAATGTAAGTATATGTTCTTATCCTCTATTTTTAAGTTTTCCAATAGCTTTTTTTTAGGGCACTGTTTATTCTTGTCCTCAATTGCAACAGCAATACTCTCTCACTAGATTATGCACCATTGCTGTCAACTGTTTGGCTTCAACTTGTCTTGCTAATGCTGAAGTAGGGCATTGCCTGCCAAAACGTCCAGACAATAGCTGTGCTCGTAAATCCCACACTGTTTTAAACATACGACAGAATCCCAAAGGTAGCTGAATTCAAGGAGGACAGAAAGTACAAACAGAAACAAGGCAAAACCCAGCGCTGTCTCCCTCCTCGACAGGGCCGGAAGGATCAGAAGTGCTTTACACACCAGGATGCCTGCCCATCCCCACCAGCCGAGGATTTAACAAATTCAGCCAGCCCCAGAACACTGTGGATTTTACCTTTAAAAAAAATCACAGTGAAGCGCCTGGGCTTTTTACAAGAGGGTAAAGAGAATAAAAAGAGATTTTCTTTAAACTCTTCAGTCTCTTTCCTACTGAAATTTTTCCCTTCTTACAGAGCATGGGGTCAACTCTCACAAAGCCAGAACAATTTAAATAAATGCATGTGTTTGACAGACCTTCAGTGATTTGGGGTTAAATTTAATCTCATCCAAATATAGCCTCTTTGGTAACTCTAAACAAGAGGAGCTTGTGACAGGGTTTCTCTGTCATATTTTTTCCAGTCTCCTCAGGACAATCCTGTGTTTCTCAGTGAATAGTTTGATCTGTGAAATCCTTCAGAATTGATATATTTGGGGTCTACAGGTAGTGAGCTGAGTTCTATCTAAAGCTATCAAAAGGTGAAAATGGACTGAATTCTCTGTCCACTTTTAGAGATAAATTCACATTTCCAGGCTACCACTCATTATTCAGGGCATAATCTGCTGTGAAGTAAGTCACCTCTTTCCACCATCTCCTCAGAACATACAACCCCCTCAAAGGGTTAACCAGCTTCTTCCAGGTGAGCTGTCTGGCCCTAGGTAGCTTTGTTTTGAAACAATGTGAAATCTTGTCTCCAAAATTTCCAAAGCCTCTGCCAGGCACAGGATAGAGGTCATGTGGATTTCTTGTTAAAGTCCAACCTCAGAGCTCTAACTTTTCCTCTAAGCTCCTCAGAGGCAGACTGGCAGCTCGTTTCTTGAAGGGTTTTCTGACAGGCCTGCACAGGGTGATTTCCACGAGGGGCTTATTTTGTAAGTTCTGAGTCCTCCCCTCCTCCAGCATTAGCATTTTAAGCCATGGGTTGTGGTGTTAAGGACACAGCTGAACACTGTGTACTCCATGGATGTCATCAAAGCACAGCAGGCAAGCAGGGAAGGGAGGGGGATCTCACAGTGTGGCTTTGCCATGCTGTCTGGGGCAACACAGGTAAAGCTTTAATGAGCCTTATTTCCTTTTCTAAAGGAATATGGAATTAACAGTAACCTTTACAACTGTTTAAAATTCTAAAATAAATATCCTTGCAACAGATGCTACTCAAAAGCAAAAACAAGGCCTGTTTATCTTGGTCCACACCCAATCTAGACAGAAAGCCTAATACACACAGCTTTGATGAGGTGTATGCTGAATTTATTAACCAAGAGATGCTAAACTAATGGCAAAGAATCACCTTCAGAAGACTGCATTTTTAAAAAGCTTCACTGCAGAAAGAAAAAAAAAAATGCACTCACGGCTGTAAGTTTTGGTTTTAAAAACAGCTTGATTGTCATGTGACACCTCCAAATCGAAGCTCTTTTAAATTTAAACATAAAAAAGATAAATAAATACTTACTCCTCCGCTAGCTCCATGAACCAGAACACTTTCTCCAGCTTTTGCACGGGCACTGCGTAAAAAAAAAAAGAGGAAAAAAAAGCATAGGTTCCATCACCTTATCTTTTGAAGTTAATTAAGTTCAAGTAATTTTGCACTATCTTCAAGGACTCCACTTTTATTCCAGCTAACACTTACCCGAAGAGCAAATGTACCCTCAAAGCTCAAGATACTCTCCAGGCTCTGTGGGATCAAATACCAAAGGCTCTTCAGAGTCACAGATAAAGAGCACCTCCCCATCACCTCTTCATTCTGCAGGTGTTTCCCTGCAGCAGTCACATGCCAGGCCCTGTGCTGGGTGCTGGTATCAAGACTTGGTGCTGTTCTGACAGGGGTGCTGCAGTGCTTGTGGGTATGTTATGTGGTAGAGCTGCCAGGCTTGGAGGAACTGGACTCTTTCATTCCCACAATCTCCAGTTTACCCCAGCAAATTACAAATTTGCAAAATCTCTGTGACTCCATGAGCTATCATTGCTAAGCCTAACCACTGCTTCTTCTGCAGATCTCATTGCTAATGTTGACACTCGGTTTCCTTCCTTAGCAGCCTGACTGCTCCTAACACTGCTGACAGGTGCTGTCCTGAAAGCTTTTCCTTCCCACCACTCTCCAGGCATAGCTGATGTTCTTATCTATGATTTTTAAATCAGTAAACTACCTCTGAGGTGGACAAGTACCTTGGCCAAGATTGTATTTTTAGTACCGGGTGAAGACAGTACTCTAGCCCAGATTTTTTAATTTTCCGAGCCCATGTACATGAATTACTATGTCCCCTACACTCTCTTAGTCTTGAGAGCCACTCCCTTCTGGTCCCTGAGGACTCTGTTCCCATCCTGTGACCACGTTCAATAATACTGACATTCCTGTTCTCCCTCCCTCAGGCGTATCCATCACTTTCTGTCTTATCTGCTCTCCCTTATGTGCTGACTGTCCCAAACTTATGTTTCCAGCCATCAAACTCCACTCACTTATTCCACTTATTCCACAGGCTACGGGACTTCTCCACTGAGATGTCCAAAACTGAGCATAGCTTACCTTCAACACTTCACAATTATGTATTACCTGTTGGGGACCACAAATTCACAATGGCTAATTTTGCATACTTTCCTAAGGGATAAATGGAGGCTTGGGATTATCCTCAGCATCACCTTTGTGAAATTTCCCATTATCTCTTTAGGGATGAGCCAGCCTCTCTCACTCACTAAGACTAAAACTAAAACCTCTAAGATTAAAAAAAAAAAAACACTCCAGGTCAAGATCCTTCTTATCATAAGACCACCTCTCCCCTCTTCAGGCATCCCATTGCTGCTGAATCTTCCACTAACCCATTATCACTGCATCCACCCAATGAATAGTGGTCAGCTGGAAGTGTCTATGTCTCTGTCCTTCCTCAGGCACTGACCTCTCAGACCCTTTTCATGCCTTACTAAATCTGTCTCTGTTTCTTATTTCATTCTTTCACTGTACCCCTCATACAGGCAGTTGGGAATCTTAGCCAGGTACCCAATAATTACCTAAGATAGAAAGCGATTAGCACCCTTAAATTCTCCACCTCTCTTGATATTATTCTCTAATTGCAAACAATTACCAAATATTCCTGGTTCTACCCACACTATTAGTAGCTCTCTCCTTTCCACTTCTTTTATCATAACCTTTGCTCTGGTCTGTAAATGTTTTGTCCAGAGGAGTCTCCTGCAAGACTCCCCTATCTCTACTTCCATCCCTGTCTTCAAATTCTTCCCCACACAGCAGAGACACGACCCCAATGAAACACAAATGTAATGATAACGCTCTCCTGAATCAGGCATTTCATGTCCATTACAGAACAACCAGAACAACATGTGAGCCCCATAACCTAAATCTCTACTATCTTAAGTCTGTTTATCTTATGGTAACAGCTAACACTTTCTGAGAGACTGTGCTCCAACTGTATTTTTGCCATTCTTGGCTTTGAAATCTTCTGTTCAACAAATCCAAATGACTGCAGCTCCCCTCAGACACCACACTGTCACCCCTACACACTACGCTATTACCATTGCTGAAAATATCCTTATGCCCTGCAGCCACTCCTCCTCTGGATCTGATCAAAACACAGACTCTCAAGTCTCAGTGGGTCTGGGGTGGAGCCTAGAATGTACTTTGAAATTACTGCCCAGATGGTTCTAACAGATAACAGGATTTTACAAACCACAGCCTTAACATAATCCAAGTTTTAAGACTTCTCCAGGAAACCGCACCTAACCCCCATAAATGTCCCTGGTGATCCCCTAAATCCCTTCATACACTTCCCTTCATACTTTCCACACTTACATGAATACTATTGCTCTACCTCTGACTTTCTCACTGGACTGTGAGTACCCTAAGATGGTGTCTTAAGACGGCTCTGCGTGGCCAGGGATCACCACAACCCCCCAAACTAACAGTTCCCATTCCATGCATGCTCAATGGTAAATAACTAGTAACCAAAGGCAACAGACAGATGAATGCGCGGGTTGTGGGATGGAAGGCAGCTGATGTGCCCGCCTTGGGCACTGGCTGTAACGTTCCCTGTGTGCCTTTACCTGTGGAACAGAGCACGGCAGGCAGTGAAGTAGGGGATGCCGATGGCAGCTCCCTGTCTGAAGTCCAGCTTCTCGGGCAGCCTGTACACCGTGTGGTCTGAAGCGAGGGCATATTCTGCGTAGCCCCCCGAAATGGTGCTGGTAGTGAAGACTCTGTCACCTTTCTAGGGAAGAGATCACATTTATAATGCATCAGAATGGGCATAATCCTCTACAGCAAAACTGTTACCACCATACATATGTACATGTTGTTTCTTACATCTCATAATCTCATAAAAATAATTTTAGAGTACTGAGTGCTATGAAATGTGTTATTGGTGGAAACCAATGAAAAGAAAACTGAAGGGAAATGGGAAAGTTAAAAGGAGAGGCCCTTAAAGCATATCCTGATGAGAGTGGTATGAGTCCCTTTCACTGAGGTCTCCCAAAGCCAGGCACTGCTCTCAGTGTCTCATGGGCATTATCCTATTAGATCTTCATGATACTTGTAAGACAGGCAGTATTATTACCTGCACTTTAAGTCCCACTACACAGACAAGGAAACTGAACTACGAAAAGTTCTGTGGTTTCCTCCTATCAAGCACTTAGCAAATGGTAGTCAACACAAATAGTTACTTCTGTGCACGGTATTTGCATGTAACTTCTTCCACAAACCAAACCCTTTGCATGTATGTTCTCACTCCTGCATTCCCACCATTCTTCATGCATACACCCCAAAACAGGAAACCACTCAGGATCCTGACAGCAGGCTAGGCTTCTTCCCTTGAATCCAGAATCACAATAAACTCTAAATGAATGTCTGCTGGGCCCTCATAATCAAAAAGTTCATGCCTGGCTTCATAGCTGCAATACAGTTTTTATACTGGGAGAAATCAGAGTGCCCACTATAACTACCTATCCTAACTCTTCCTGCTTGGAAAAATATGAAGTAAATATTCTTTGGAGTAGGCAACACATCAGGCTGCTCTGTATACTTTAATTAGTCCTATAATAAAGAAATCTGAATAGTAACAGCATCATGTAAAAGGATAGGTACGAAATAAAGACTCGAAAGGCTTCCAAGAGAAAAAGAAAAAAAAAAAAAAAATCATTGCCCAGTACAGTGTCCCACAAACAGTCATGTAATTAGAGTAAAATGAGTCCTGTTTCTTCCAGCTTAAATACACATAAAACTGATTCCAATGTGTTACAGTATTGATTTAAAATGTGCCTCAAAAGGCTCATGTGTTTAGAGGGCAACTGGACGTGTGGGTGCCACATTTATATGTGGATTTAACTGATGATTCATTCGGGAGCTAAATACACAACCCAGAAAGGAACATTCCTGTCCCTCCTCTCTCTCCCCCTCCCTCTCTGGCAGGATAACCTGAATTAAACTAGAGGCACTGAATGTACAAAGAGGAGGGAAAAAGCAGTTACAGTAAGAGAGAGCTGGGTGAAGGAAACGAGATACCACTCAAACCCCAGAGGTCACCAATGCAATGGCACAACCAAAGAATGGACCTACAGTAAGAAAAGACGAGCTGATTTAGACCTGCTTAGGAAGAGACTGATTCTGAGCATGCGGGCCCAGCGGTGTCCAAGAGAACTTTCTGCGATGATGGAAATGTTCTCCAACTGCACCGTAGCGTAGGGTTCAAGCTAAATGCACAGGACTATGAAGCATGTGAAATGCTGTCTGTGTGACTGAGGAATTGGATTTTCAACCTGAATTTAGATTAGCTTGATTTGAATACTTAAATTGCCACATGGAGCCAGTGGCTACCATTTTGGAAAGGACAGCACCAGGGCTTAGTTGAAAATCCTAAAGATACCACATGTGAGACTAGAAATCAGGAGAACACATGGAATTATCATGACAGAAGTACCCAATGCAAATATAAAAAGCAGAGCTCTAAACAGGGACAGAGAGCACTGGGTAGCACCAACATTTGTGAAGCACCTAGAGTTCCAGAGGCCTGAAGAAAAGAATGCCCAGTGAGGAGGCCCAGAGGAGGATAAGAGAAGATGATGTCACAGAAACCAAAGAAAGTTTTTTTTTTTTGTTTTTTTTTTAAGAAAAATTTAAGTGGTGGAGAGTGTTAAATGTCACAGAGAAGTCAAGAAAGATAATGACATAAAAGGGCCCATTAGCTCCAGCCACACAGAGGCCATTAGTGACATTAGCAAGAATTGTTTCAAAGGAGCAACAGGGGCAGAATCACTGGCTGAGAAGTGGGAAAGCCATAGGAATCTGCTGTCTTCCTGTCCAAGGGCGCGTTTTTTCTGCTGACTTTCAGCCTGGTCTCAGTAAATGCACTGTCAAAGTTGCGTAGGTCAGGATATTATGAGGAAAGATGCTAGAACAGGCATCTGCCATGAGCCTACTAACAATGCTTTATATTCTGTTGGCATACAAACAGCCAAAGCCCTGATCACAACACTTTTGCTGACCTTGGTCTGATTCAAAGCGCTGAACTGTATAATGACCTTGCATGTTTTCACGCTTTACTTACTCTTCAAAAGAATTCATTTTCCCTTTATTCCATGTAACTACATTGATAAAATAATTTTTAAAATACGTTGGCTTGACAACTATTAAGAGTTAGGAAATCATAAGCAGAATTTGCTTCATTTACAAATTGGTATTCCATCAAAAGGATCACAGTTGATTCTGGGGAAATGAGAAGATACAGAAATTATCCGGCATTTATTCCTGCCCATGCAAACAAACAAATGCTATGGATATGAAATCTTGTCCTTTTTTGACTAGAGGAGTCCCCCAAGTGGCAGAAACTGTGTAATGGGGCCTCTGAAAGCCTTAAATAGAGAAAATATCTTAAAGCTGTGTTAAAAGTATTTTAGGAAAAAATAAATAAAAGAAAGTACTTTAAGAAAAAAAGTCAGCCAAAATAGAAATATTTAAAAGTGTAATACCTTGAAAGCAGACACGTCATTGCCAATGGATTCTACGACCCCCGCCACATCAGTGCCTGGGGTGTAGGGCAGCAGTGGTATCCTAGTGTAAGTACCAGAGCGGATGTATGTCTCCACTGGGTTGATACCACATGCATGGACTTTGATTAGAACCTGCAATGACAACATATTTTAGTTCACATGGAGCATTTAGGCACTAAATCAGGATTATGGGAACTATCAAGATAAAGAAAACAAAACAAGTAAATCCTTGCTTTCAATAAGCTCACACTCTAATTTTGCAAACCAACATGCAAATGAAAGGAAGACAATATGAAAAACATTGCTGTATAAAAACAATGAGAAAACAGTAAAACAAATGTTTAAAAGATGTATGGCAGGAACCTCTACATGTTCATCGAAAATAGTTCTTCCTCCTTTTAGATACCTAGGAGGGACGTGATTTTCTGGCCTCCTTTATAATTATCAGTAACCAAAGGACTGAGCCCACAGCTAAAGGAAGGTAAGCAAGAGAGGCCACTCGAGGACTGGCCCACAGAAACCCTCCTAGGTAGTGCATACATTTACCCTTCCCGCAAAACCTGGAAGTCATGTACAGACATTGACAGAGTCATATGATAACAGAGGCCAAGGTCATTATTCACTGTGGGAGGCAAGGGACCACCTCCAGGTTAGAATTTGGGAAATCATTTCCTACTTTTGAACCATTAAGATTTTGCAGTTATATGTATCCAAGCAGCTAATTTTACCAGTAACACAGAATAATTTTCTCTGCTATAAGAGTAAGAGTCAGTTTACAGAAGAACTAGGAGCATTTAACTTAGGCCTTAAAAGATGAGTATAAGTTCTACAGGAATGGGAGAAAAATGGAATTTCAGGTAAAAAGAAGGAGTGGACACTGGTAGAAGGACTATAAGGGCTACTTGGGAAAAATGGGTAAAGTTTGATGATGTTACAGCCCAGGCTACTGAGGAAGTGGTAGGAAATAAATCTGTAAAGATAAGTTATAGTCAAATTTTAAAAATTCTCCTAAGGCTTGCTTAGGAAATTAGACTTGGAAGTCACGGAAGATGCAGTAATAAAAGTACATAATTTTGAATCACAAGGATATTGTTAAAGTCTCTGGAGATGATTAAACTCTACAATTAAATTATCTTAACTCATATGTGAAAAAGCATGAGTGAAGAAGCAAACTGTTTTCCCACCATGCGCAAAATAAAAATCACGGAAGTTTGCAACAGAAAAACTGACTCGAAACTACTGATGACTCCATTCAGAAAAATCCAATTACTGCACTCTGTAGGGGATTCTCAGCTTCAAAACTTTTTCCAGAACTGTTTTCTATATCTACTTCACTAATTAGATTTATGATAATTTTGTCAGGTTCAAAAATATAAGTAGTGCAAATTCTGTCCAAATTCAATGTCTTAAGAAATCACTGTGACTCTTCTGAACCCTAACTTAATGTCCTTGAGTCTCCAAGCTGGAATAATCATTGCCCAAGTAAAGTAATCATTTCCACCTGATGGTCTTTTGGAATCGGCACCGCGACATCCGACTGGACTTTCAGCACTTCTGGTCCACCAAATTCAAAAACTCTAATAGCTCTCATCAACTTCTGTCCAGTTGCCATGGTGATGCAGATACTAAGGAAAAGAAATCAGTATATTGTCATAACGTATGTCGGCTATCACTATGCGTCCCCCCCTTTAGAGGGCAGATCAAACAACTTTTCAAAAAAACCAACTTAAATCATGAAGTTACCACTGATCTCATTTCATGTTTAAGGACCTTTCATCTTACAAATCCTTCAGCTACAAAGCAAAATACTTCATACTACTTCCTGTGGGGATTTAGGGCCTTCAACAAGGGATTAAACATGCAAACAGAAACATCTGGACAGATATAGCATGATACTGTATCTTTTTGCTTTGGTGTAAGCTTGGGTCTCAACCCCTTGGAAATTTTAGGGGGTAATATAAGATCTACTGACATGATATATATAAGACTTCCTTTTGTTAGACTATAAAATATTTCAAACATATTGAAAAATACAAAGAATGTAATAAACACACTTATACCTCACTTTAACAAACCTTAACACTGTAAAAAAAAAAAAAACTAAACTACTATTAAAGACTTCTGAACCCCTTGCTACAACCTATTTCTGGCCTGACCTTTAAGAGGTGATTATCATAATTTCTGTGCTAATCATTCCCAAGCATGTAACACTGCTCCTACATGTATGTGTAAGAAATATACACTATTGTTTTGCATGTTTCCCAAGTTTAGATTATACTGTACTTAATTCTGCAATTTGCCTTTTTGTTTCATCACTAAATTTTTGAGAGTGATCAATATTGAAACACTTGACTTTATGCAGTTCAATTTAACAAAAAGGAAAAAAATATTAAAAACATTGCTCTGTATGAAATCTTTTTGTAATTTACAAGCGCTCAGCTTTTCATCCTACCTCAGTTAATATTAAAATGAAAACTCAGAGCTTAACTCTATGAAAAAGCAAAGCGCATTAGTATATAAAATTACATAGTTTCAGAAAAATCTGTAACTGTGAAGATATAATGAAAAGATTTTGACTATACCTCTGTAATTTTAATTTTAGGTTATCATAATTTTTTTAAATAAACCTAATCAAATATGTCTAGAATCTTCTGCCACCTACCACATCTCTGCTAACTTTTGGAATAATCATACTCACCAAACACAAGCAGTGTAAGTGTCAGAAACAGTTGCAGGAGCGAGGAGCTGTGCTGCAAGAGTTCAGACTTGGTATCAGAGCTCAGAACAGGGCTTATTAAATGGTATTCCATAGGGCGGCGGGGTACCAAAATTATTTTGGTGGCATTATGAATGGAAAGTTCCTGACATAGTTAATCAAAGGTGGATCATTTAAAAATCCTCCCATTACAATGACACAAAGCAGTGCATTTGCACGGATGGTTTAGCAATGATGCATCCTAAAAAGATGCAGCAGTCACAATGCTGACCACATAGGGCAATGGGGAGGGCAGGCAGAGCCAGCTCAGCTATCTCAATACTGCACATTTCAGGTCTTTGCTCCAGCTGGGATTTTTCTAGCACAAGAATGTGCAAACAGAAAGAAAATAAAACAGAAAAAAAAAAAAAAAAAAAAAAAAAAGGTGCACTAGATCAGTTTTCCACGGTGGAAAAAACACAGAGCTTTTACTTTCCTTCTTTGTTTTTGACGTGGTGGTACAGGAGTGTGGGTTTTAAAATTTAACAGCGCAGGCTTTGCGTCTTTGGCTTGTCATTCACTAGCCTCAGCGCCTTGGGAAGAGGCCTAACCTGTGAGCCCGTCTCATCCCTGGAAAACTGGGCTCCTACGAGAAGTACTGGGGTAGAGACCTGGTGCACCCCAAGCACCGAATTTGACAGCAGCAGGCTCCTGTGTATGGCACATCACCTTAGTCCTTTCTCATCTAGTCTCCTTTCCAGCTTCTTATACACTCCATTCCTCAACACTAGAACCACCTTTAATTGGACAAAACAAAGTTAACAGGATCCTGCTTATGAAAACAAGCTACCACCCTCATTGAATCCAGTCTCAATTATCTAAACATTAACACCAAACATTGGACATATTTCATTCAAACTGTACTCTTATTCAACATAAAATATATTCCAGGTATTATGCTAAAACCAGGAAACACAAAGGGTGCAGAGAAAATGCCCTCAGCTACTGTGCTCACACACTGTGTGCATACACACAGACAGGTACACATCGACACATGTGAGGTCACACATACATACACACACACACACACACACACACACACACAGGGTTGCAACTATTCTTCCATCAACAGACATTACTTCAAAAAAAAAGTAACAATACAATCAAAACTGTCCTGAAATAGGATCTCTTGTTTTCAACACATTTATTTCCTCTACATTTTGGTACTGGTGAGAGGGAGGAACATAAGGCGGTGACTCACCCTTACTACCAGATGGGAATGTCCACCTGGCCTGCCCAGGTCCACTCTGTCCTATGGAGCTTGTAAAGAAACAGGCACAGTCTCCACAGCGTTACCTTCCACTTAACTCCTCCTCATCTTATTTCCCACTGAGCCATTCTGATTGATCTCCAACCTACAATCACTGCCTCTGAACTCAACTACAAGATCATCATCTGTTTCTTAATGCAGGAGCCACATCAAAGAGAATTACAAAAAGAATAAAATAATGTAACCAAATAACAGCAATTAGGATAATTCTTAAGTTCTTTTTCTGAAAAACAACAGTCTTTCACCTTTAGCAATATGCTATTAAACCTGTTATTTTATGAAGAAATAAAAAATAAAATCACCATTCATTTTATGAATGAGAATACCCAGCAAGAGGTTAAGAGATTTGGGCAGGGTTACACAGAGCTAGAATTCAAGTCTTGTATCTTAAATATTTGCTAACCCACACCCTTCCCATTGTACAGTCCTTTAAATGTAGTCTTTGGAGTACTAGCATAGATTAAGTTCTTAGAAATAATTTTTATAATGATGACAGCATGAGATTCTGAGCTACAGAGATGACAGTTAACTATCCTACATGGAGGATCACATATATTATGATCAAGTTTTCTATTCAGAGTTCACACTTTCTCAAAGGTTCATAAATCAGGAAGCCTAATAGAAATAGGTCACAGTTCTAGTAGGAAAATTAATAATTTTCTTATCTGTAATTTAGGGATAGTACCTAGCACAGAAGCTTTGTGAAGATAAACTTCAAAACTACAAGCAGATTCCTCTGCAGCACCCTGAGTAAACAGTGAATCATTTGCAGCCTAATGGACAGGTCAGGCTTCTCTGCCCTTTGTGTTTGTAAATTAAACTGTGCCAAGAGGACTTTTTATTCATCAGGCCTTTGTCCTGACCAAATGCGTACTTTTAAATAAACTGGTTTTACTTTTTACTTCTGAAAGTTTGCCAACCATACTTCACAAGTGTGGGAGCTACAAAACTTACAATTCTTTTTCTAACAGTGATCTATCAGGCTATACTTGAGTCCATGTGATTTAAATGAAAATAAAGCGATAGGGGAAAATGTGAGCATTTATTTTAATACAGAATGAATAAGTTCACAAAGCCAGCATAAAGGCACATGATGATGCAAGAGCAGTAAGTAAAATGGCAAAAGAAAATTAAAATAAAAACTGAAAACTTGGAAACAAAAGCAATTATTACAAAACATGCTGTTGTTGCTTAAAAACGACTCTTGTGAGCATGTTGCTTATGATTAGTAAATTTAAATGTTTAAAAAAATTTTTTTGACTCAAATCTTTTCACTAGTCTGAATCTTGGCCATTGACGTGGAGGGGGGGAGCACGCTAAGGGATCATTTCGAAGCCCCACAGGATCTTCGACGGTGATTTGGGGTGCAGTGGGGTGGGCTGCTCTCCAAAACTGGGAGCTAGCAGGATAGAATGTGCTGCTGAGCTCGCAGACTCTGCCCTCAGCTGCGAGCCAGCAGGGCAAACTCTAGCAGCCTCTGCACATTCAACTAGCAAGGCTCCTCTAGAAACTCTGCAAACAGATCTTCGCAGGGCATTTCGTCCTATTTTTTTTTTTTTTCTAAGATTCTTCTAGGTGGGAATGGCAGGGTCACTGAAACTATACATTGCTCTCCAAAAGGGATACAGCACCCCAGTCGACAGCCAGGGGATTATGTACGCGGTGACCCAGGGCTGCGCTCTCCGTCCATGTGGGCCCGCACAGAGCGGAAGACATCTGCAGACCCAGGGAGGAACAGCTGCGGTCTGCGGTCTCCTTGGACACTGGTCCACAGAGCGGACAGACAGAGGCTGCAGGAAAGAGGCGCAGACACAATCTAGCTCCATCCCAACAGTAGGGGCATCGCGGAGACCTGCAACCTGAACAGCTCGGGGATGCCTTTTTTAAAACCACTTACCCGCCTCCAGAGCAGGGATCACAACCTGCTATGGCTCCCTTGGACTGCACAAGAGGGAGAGGACAGGCTGTTTTCAACTTTGGCAAGACTCCGCCTACCCGCTCAAGGCCGTTGCTACCCTGAGAGCCAAGAAGTTCTCGAACGCCTAACGAAGAGGAAGTTTGGACCTAGACGGCCACCGCTCGCTCCAACATGGCTGCCCCCATTGAGCGGGAGGAGGTACGGGAAAGTGCAGAGCCCGGACTCTACCTCCATCACGCATGGACCGCAGCGCAGAGTTCAGGAGGTGGAAGGCGCAGGGTCTGAGCAAAGCAGACCTCAGCAGGAAGGGCAGTGTAGACGAGGACGTGGTCGACCTTGTACAACTCCTGAACACGCAAGAGCAGTTTTTCACCACCAGTTCCTGCGCCGGCCGCATCCTCCTCCTAGACGGGGTGAGGCCCCCTGTGCTCTCCCAGGCCGACCCCCTGGTACCCAAGTGATCACAGGGCCCCTGTGACTTCGTAGCGCAGCGTCCAGGCTAGCCCGTCTGTGCTGCTGGGCGATCTCGGCTTGTCTGTATTGGAGACTTAAAGATGAATGAATTAGATCGGTGTTTTTAAAACAATTGTCTTAATCGCCTAGGAGTCTTGTAATAAATTACGTTTTGGTGTACATTTGCAGCTGTGGCCCAAATCATAGTGAAACTGCCGGCCTGAGAACTGTCTTAAGAGGCCAAGGTGTTCGTTTAATTTTCTGAATACTTGAAGAATTGTTCATGTAGCCACATTCACGCCAAACACTGCATTTCAACCGTTTTACCAAATCATCCTTTCTCCATCAAGGTGATCGTTGCCTCCTACTGGCTCACTTCGTTAGTACTGCTTTGGAAGTTTTTCCATATAATAATTAAGTTGTACTTATAATAGGCAGGAAAGTTAGATAGAAATTAATATACAATCAGAGAGGGACTGGGCCCTCAAGGAAGTCAGCACAGATAGACATCAGTATCATGGCTGGAGGTGCATCTGACTAAAGTTAGTCTCATGTTAACCAGGCCTACATGCCTCCCTAAGCAATAATCAGTAACTTAGAATTATACTATAATTAGCACCACCTGATCCAGTAGTCCAACTAGGCAACAGTCACCCAGGTTGATGACCAGAGCATCCCTTCCCTAAAATGCTTTTGTTCTTTCCATGGACTCTTGCTAGTGACTTATTTTCCTAATGGATCAATATTAGCTAAGCAGCTATAATTGTAATCCTATAGGTTGACTGAAGTTTGATTCATGCTGTACCCCTGTTGTGACTTTGCTGTGTAAACTACCCCTGAAAAGGGCCTTGGTCACCACCTACTTGGGTCCCATCCTGGAGATCCAGGAGCTTTTCTCTCTTTCTTTCCAATAAAACTTCCCTAACTTCTTCCTTTGATTCATGACTTTTTTCTTTGATGTTGAGAGACATTTAACTTGGCACATTTGACGTCATAACAGGTTGGAATCATATGTTCCCTGTATCAGTAATAGGAGATAGTGAGTGTTAAAGTTCTCAGGCTTTCAAGTAATGCTACTTAGACTCTAAACCAGTTGTAGGAGTTATTTGGCTATGTGATCTTAGGTACTGAGTTGCCCACTAACTGATGATAATAAAGAGTACTCAGTGGGAATGTTGTGGGGAGAGAATGAGATCATTTATTTTGAACATTTAATCATGCCTGGCTCATGTTAAGCATGCTTTAAAGTTGGCTGTGTGTTCATTTTATTATCAGTATTAGGAGTATTGAAGGTTCATATTTACAAGTTCATTCTTTAGGTCCAGCATTGACTACTCATTTGCAGATTTCCTAAGTTAGCAAGGCCTGCTATTTTTATATTGCTTCCATTTCATCACAAGCATTGACACTCTTGTCACACATCTTCTCTTCTTTCTGTCCCTCTGCCCTATTTTGCCTGAATTTTAGCAGTAGTTTCAAAATTAGTCACTGAACCACTATTCTCTTTCCTTCAGCCCATGTTACACACTAACAGGTCTGCTTTTTTAAAGCAGAAAACTTTTGTTCCTCACATTTTTTTGCATGGGAAAATCCACCCTCCACTACCCTTAAAAGACCCTATTCTCCACTACTGTCCTTCATTTAGTTACTGTAACTGAACTGTTTTCTATCTTATATTTACCTTCTTTCACTTTATTCATGTTTTACCCTAGAAATGTTTCACTTTTCTTTTCATTTCTAAGTTGTGATTCCCAAAATATGTCTTCTGGGTATGCGTGTGCGCGCATGCACACGCACACACACACTTGGAAGTAATGACCACTTCTGAACTGGCTCAGAACTTTATCTGAACCTCTTTCATTTTATTTATTATGTTATACCTTGTGATATATTTTTAGTGTGCCTTATTTCAGACAGGATTTGGAGCATATAAAAAATACACAAAAGATAACCCAGACATGACATTCGTTTCCAAATCATGCCACTGCGTCCTGTAACTTGGTAAGGGTGGACCCGCATTTGGCTCTGAGGTTTATAGGAGCCAGCATAACTCAGTACATAGGTTATTAAAATCTTTACTCAAGAGATACACAACTCTTGTTGGTTCCAAGGCCAGACAGTGACCTCCCATGGGCCCATTGTATAAATAGTTTCTTTGTAGAAATATAGTGATTTCTGTGCATGTGGTTTCCTGGAACCCCTCTCTAGTATCTTAAGGGTAGGATCTGTATATTTAATAGAACTTTGCAAATAAACATTTGTCTGGCTTCAGTTAATGTTAAGATCTTTGCCTTCCTGAAACTTTGAACTTTTAGTTCTAGTTCCCAGTGGGACTACAGATGAAGTGTCATACAGAAATCTCAATATGTATGTCCACCAGAAGCCAGGAAAGTTTTAAAAAACAGCACAGATATCTATAAAGAATGATAGGCCTTGTGCAGTACTGGACAGTGCTATCCTACCAATAAAACAGCTACAATACAACTCAAATGCTGCTAGTGTAAAATCCCTTATAATTCTTTTCTGCTTATAAAAAATCATATTTCAGAAAATATTAAATATCTTTATCTTTAAAATCATGTCAAGTTATTTTGATTCATTTTTGTTTTGTGCCCCAAAATATTGAATCATTTTCATTAACATTTAAATTTATTAATTTAGGAAGCCTTTAATATGCTCTGCATTGTACTTATTTTTACAGGTATTGTATGATTAAATTATTGTATTTATTGTTGTAGGGTATAAGTGGTTTTGAGATTCAGAAACAAAACTGTTGCTGGCTGCTGGTTACCCACAAACCTTGTGTAAGAGAGGATGTGGTAAGTTTTGATATGTAAATTTATAAGTAAACTTTTAAATTCATAGTTACTTTAAATATGCATGGAAAGAATAGGACATTCAAGGTGATTTATGTGCATAATTATAATGACTGAAGATTATAAAGCCTAGAAAGCTTTCATTACGATGGCTTTTCAGGGTTGGAAGAGATAAAGTGGAAGTATAAATATGTATGCAGGCATTACTTACTGTGACTCAACAAAACACATTCTTTTGGATATAGCAGAAAGTTCATGGACATCAGACATACTGGATCCAAATTTTGAATTTCACTTCTGTCATTTAATAACTCTGTAGCCAGAAACAGATAATTGAAGGAGAAGGGGATTAGCTTTGCCTGTGCGTTTGCTAGCCTCACTGATATAAATAAATTGTACATTACTTACCTGAATTGCTTCTGGGAAATCTTCATATATGTGCTCGGTTATTTATTTTCCTAAATTCAGGTGTTTAGATGAGTTTATATTAGTTTGTATTAACCAGACACTTTTCATTCCTGGCGAATTTAGAAATTCAATTCCATTTTATATAGACAGAAAGGACAGAGGAGAATATGGAATCAGTCATTGCTGGCTCAGGTTTTCGTATGTTTTCTTCAGGCACTCTGTCTTCCTTTGGGTACTGGTCCCTGCATTCTCTTCTGCTGCAGATGATTATTTTTGTAGCAGGAATTATAGCTGCCAGCAGCTCCAACAAAAAATGACTTGCTTTGCCTAAGATTCATGTGTCATTCCCAGAGAGGGACTCAGAGTTGTCCTGCATGGATTCACTGCTCTGCCTTGTAGATCAGTGTTTTTGGCTGCTGAGATGATACGGTATCCTTGATCAGACATAGGCCCATGGATACACCATGGAGAATTATTGAGTTTCAGAGTCATGATTGATAGTCCCACCTGACCCAGATGTATAGGGAGGGAAGATGCTACTTAGGAATGCTGGGCAGACAGAAATTATAACAGTCGTGTAAATTCTAGCTCAGAGTTCATATTATATGTTTCACTAGTCGGTCAAGCTGTGCCACAGGATGGACTGTAACAGTGCAGCCAGAGACAAATGCAGCTAAATGCCATGCATGGAAGAGACAAGAAAATGATTGGGGTTGCTAGGAACAGACATGACCCATACCAGGCTCAAGTGGTACCATTTTTACTTACATCAGGAGGTTAGAGGGTTAGAGACAGTACAAGATCCAACTCCTTATGATGTTTCAGGACCTGTAACATATCCAACAAGGGCATTGTGACTGTATCCGCCCCACTTGGTACTGCAGTAGAAGGATCCTGACACTTATTCCATGAGACCTAAGTCCAGCCTGTTGGGGGAGTGCCCAAGGGCCATTAATTTGCTTACTTTTAAATGATGCATGTGTTAGTAAACAATTCCAAGGAACGCTTACTTGTGCCCTGTACAGAGAGGATAGAAATGCACTGCCTGTGTTCTGTGGTTTTTTGCGTGCAACATGATTAGGAGCTTACTAGTGTTCCTGTATGGAGCACAGCCCTTCTTGGGAACAGCAGAGGCATCAGGCTGTGCTTGGATGCCTTCTCTCACAATATACCTGTCTCTATACCTAACATCAAATTTAAACAAGGTCCTAGTGCAGTGGGATCGTAGGACAGGTTCTGTGTGATGAACATAGCATCTTCAATGTTGTACACAACCGAAAGGAAAAAGCAACTAAGTTTAGTGAAGTCTAGAGATGGAAGGTTTGCTCAGAGCAAGTGCACTCATGTTAGCAGTAAGGAAAATGGCACGTGTACAGAATATGCTGGGCTTAAGGACTTAAAATTTGTGCTTGGCCTAGAGTACCTTCCTTAGGGTTTTTTGAGAGTGTGGTTGACAGCATGATTGACAGGGTGCTGAGTCATGCCAGCTGTGTGGACTGCGTGTGCTTTCCCATAATTTCCTCAGTTATAATTGGATGCCTGGGTTGTACTCCATATCTATGAACCTTTAACAAGCTCCAGGTGAGGAGAGGTCATTCATTGTAGGTCGTATAGGCAGGCTGCCACACATGCACCTTGATTTGGAAACTCAGGAATTTCCAGGGGTCTTTGTTATTTCTAGCTCTGTTTCTTCACAGTGGGTTTTAGAACTAAAATCAGGGACACTGACCCTGAGGCATTGCCCAGGTTCTGATGAGTAAAGGTGAGTGGTCATATAGCCCCTAACTGTACTATCTGTATTACGGGGCAGTTTTCACATGTCATATTCCTTAATGAAAAGCCTATGATAGAACAAAGTTATATATAGAGAGAGAGACAGAGACAGAGAGAGATAAATAGTTGGGAAAAATGGTACAGAAGGTTTATGGAAGAATTGGAAATCAAGGCTTTAAAGACATATATATATATAATATATATAATATTATATAAATATATAAAATGAGAAAATGGAGAAAGCAGAGGAAAAAGGTATTACAGAAGTAGGCTGAAGGTATCTACAGCTATCTAGGAAAAACTGACATGGTATCCAAAGTGTCACCGAAGGACTGAGTCACACACTTGTGCCTGATGTTCTCACTGATCCTTTGTTTAGTTGGCAGCTCTGAAGAAAGCCAGTGGCGATGCAGTTTTGAAATTTGAGCCATTGGTCCTTCACGTGCAGTGTCGGCAGCTACAGGATGCACAGATTCTGGTAAAGTGTTTGTACTTGGCATTTATAGGTCTGATCTTGAAAAATACACACATTTACTGTCCTAATTTTTATCCATTAAGATCTATTTGTTACTTTTACTATTATGAAAAAAGAGTACCTGATAATCACTGGCAAACTTCAGTATCCAAATTAGGGTTTCTGTTTCTGCTTGACCTTTCTATGGTTGAAGTTTACTTCAGCATTTTATGTATTTTATAGTCCCAGCCAATTGGGAGACAGGAGAATCACAAATGCAAGGGCAGTCTGGCCAAGGTGGCAAGAGTCTGCCTCAAAAGTAATTATATAAGTTCATTTTTCTTCATTTAAGTGAGTATTAGGTAAACATGTGATTAGTTGTGGTTCTGTTTCATTCCCCTATCTGTTGTTATACCTTTTATATGTTTACATAGAAAGTTAAATTACATCACAGCCTTCACTTACAAGAATGCATGGAGTCCCAGTGTGTTAGGCACCTGGGCACAGAGATGAACAAGATGAGAGACCATCAGGTTTCCTCTGGAGGTTAGGAGACCACAGAACAAACAGTTGTACTGTAAATAAGGACAATAACTGCTGGATGCAAAATGTCCACAAAAGGAATACAGCAACCCGGAGATAGAGCATAGCATGAAAAGTGGCCATTAGACCAGGCTTCCCCGAAGAGGGTTCTTTAAGACAAGACTTAAAAGGAACAGAAAGAGCTAAATTTACAAATGGAAAGTAAACATTCCAAGGGGTGAGAAGTTATATACACAGTTTCAGAAGCAGAGAAGTGCTTGGCGTGCTCACAGAACGGAAAGAATGAGGTGGAAAGGGGAGAGTGGACCAAAAGTAGAAGAGAGGGGAGACAGGATCAGGTCATTATGGATTGGTTTCTAAGTGCAAGGGAAAGTTAGTGAAAGGCTAATTGTCAGTGGGATGAGACTTGATGCGGTTTATTATCTGGAAACCTCCGTTCTGCTCAGCACAGGGACTCGGTCACAGTGCACCGGGTGGGAAGTAGCCTAAGAGCATATCCCTGAAAAAGGTGAGAAGTGGATGGACTCAGAGTATATTTTAGTGTTTGAGTCAGTCAGATGGTGAGGTTTCCTGGAGAAGAATTGCCCCAAGGGGGAGGAGGAAAGGAAATCACAGTTCACGCCTTAGCTCTGACCTGAGCATCTGGCTGTCTGTCCTTTATGCAGATAGGGAGCACTGGAGACTGGCAGGGACAGATCAGACATTCGAGTCACATATTGAGTGTGAAATGTCTTTAAGACACCTGTCGTAGATGCCAGACACTGTCTGCTAGGGCTGCCATAATACAGTGACTTAAAAGAAATCTATTTTCTCACCGTTCTGGAGGCTTGAAGTCTAAGATTAAGGTGCCTGCAGGGTTGGTTTCTCCGCCACTTGATTTGTAGGTGGCCGGCTGCTGCCTTTCCTCTTCAGTCACAGCACTGCTGTCCTTTCTTGTAAGGACACTGTTCAACCAGAGTCATGTCCCAAGGGCTCCTCAAGCTTTGTTATCACTTTCAGGCCTTATCTCTAAGTCACTTTCTGGCTGAGAGATTCACACAGGGCCTTTGAAACCCTATGACAAGTTCAGGCAATTTCACACCTAAGTGAAAGCTTCGGGTAGTGTTTGGACAGAACTCAGAGGAGAGGAGCAAACTGGACTGCGGATACTCCCTGGGGAGACACCAGGACAGGTACTTAAAGCCATGCCCGTTAGATAGGAACTGGTATCGGGATGGAATGGGGAAAAGCACCAAAGCTAACTGGAGCTTGACCTGTCAGATGGAGAGTGGCACTGCTTATCGAGGTGAGAAAGACTGGCTATGAAAGAAGATTTATAAACGTAGAATCCATTTCACTGCAGAGATCCAAACTGGAAAAAGGATGCATCCACATACATGTGATCCTTAAACCAGGAAACTGAATAGAATCTCAGAAGGAGACTATGTACTTAGAGCAAGGTGTCTCACCTGTGGCACTGTTGACATTTTGGGTCAGATAATCCTTGTGGGGGGCTCCTGTGCACTGTGGAATGTTTGAGTACTACCCCTGGTCTCTACTCCCTGTATTCCAGTCCCCCAGTTGTGACACCTTGGCAACCAACAGTGTCTCCGGATGCTGCCAAATGTTCACTGGGGGACAAAAATTATTCTTGATTAAGAAAAGAAGAGGTCCACAGCTGGTCCCAGGGCTGCACGTAGACATATAGATGTTTAGAACTGATGAAACAAGGTAAAGTAACTTATAAAGCCACACCAGAAATTCAGAAATTTTACACTTTATATGCTTTCTTTCTATTTTTTTTTCCAACAAACTGTAGAATTAAAAAGGATGCTGAAATAATCTCTGTCTTTACTTAGAGAAAGCATCCCTCTCATATAAAAGAGCATTTTGGGGGTTTTTTTGTTTACTTTTATATAGCATGATTGTGTTTTGGTTATCTTCTGCTTTAAGGAAATAGTCACCAGCCAGATGTCTCTGTGCTTTGTTGAATTCTAGTTTTACTCTTCCTCAATGACATTTCTAAAGTTGGAAATCTGGTATCTCTAACAGAAATTCTCATAGGGCTTTTAAACATGTCCAAAGCCAAAAGACCTTAATGGGGGGGGGGGTGTATATATATTTCCGCCCCTTAAAGAACTGAACAAAAGACCTTAGTAGCTGAATATCCGAATTTAACAAGCTGTATTTTCTTACAGCATTCAGTGGCAGTTGATTCTGGTTTCAGGAACTCTGGCATCACAGTGGGAAAGAAAGGAAAGACTATGCTGGTAAGGCAACTTCGGGCTGAAAGCGAGTCTTCTGAGTGTGAGAGATCCAGGTCACTGAATAACCTCATTAGACTCCTGCTCGTATGCTCTCCTCTCTCAAGTTTTCTCTTCCAGAGACCTTCAGTGACATAGTCTTTCCTCCAGGCAAAGTCCAGAGCTTGGATTTATGATTGAGTTCTTATTGGACCATACCCTGCTTATTTTTAACTAGATCCTTGACTCTGTCCCCCACAGGCTGAGTGGTCAAGGCTCGATCAAATGAGCAACACGACCTTGCAGTGTGAGCCACAGAGCGGTAGAAATCTTCCACTGCCCCTATTTGAACTTGTGCAAGCTCCTTAGTCCCCCCAGGTCTCGATTTCACCGCTGTGTCTCGAGTCCAGAGGGTGCTGTGCAGCCCGTGGGGAGCCAGCTGTCACCATGTTCACTGGTACACAGTTGGCTAAAGTTGCTTACTATCACAGTGGAAAACAGAGTAGTCATGATAAATGTCATAAAGCCCTCAAAAATATGTACTCTCTTTCCTTTCTCAGAAAAGTTTGCTAGCCCCTGGCCTGGACGATCTTTCAGCCCCAAAGTCCCTCCTTCTTTTGTCCTTCCCAGGCCAAGTCAAGCCCTGTTGGGATACGCCCCATTTACCCTAGCATGTAACGTTTGTTTTGAATTGTTCCAGAATACTCTGTATTCTAGCTCCCTAGACTTTTTCTACCTATTTTTAACAAATAACTTATGTTGAAAACAGAATGGCTTACAAAGCAAGACACCCGTGTGAAGCATGCCGAAATAGAAACTCAAAGTCCACAGTAGTACTAGTTTGTTTCCTGCGCGCGCATGTGTGTGCGCGCGCGCACACACACACACACACACACACACACACACACACACGCGCGCGCGCGCGCGCGCGCGCAGCATCTGGTGGCCCTCGCAAGAACACCTGCATTTACCTTTTCCTCCTTGTCTTTTCTTCCTCCCGCCTGTCACACCAGTACCCACCACAGGCCTTTGCACTTGCCTTTGTGTCCCGTTTGTCATTCCCCGCCTTTCCCATCTGCTCTTCCTGCTCTAAGGCTTTTCCTTGGCCCCCTCCAACTCTTAGAGTCCCCGCCCCCTCCTGAAAACTCAGGGTCCCAGATGTCTTCCCTGATAAGCAAAGCCTTGCCCAAACTGTTTCATATCAGTTCATTCCTGGTCGTCTTTCTCTAGCACACTCACCCTCCAGCCTTGTAGAACTGTCAGTTGCCTCCCGAATGCATCCTGCTGTTCTGTGCCTCTGTGCCCACAAATGACACATTGCTCTTGCTGGAATTGCCCTTTTCTCAGTTTTATGTCTGGTGAACACTCTTGTAGCCTTTAAACCCAACTCAAATGCTGCCGTCCCCATAGGGCTTGAGTCCTCAGACTTAGCCAGTTGATCCTGTTCTACATTTCTCTTGCATTTTGTACGTGTGTTTCTCTGTCACCTCTGGGGCATTGTCATTCCTTGCCCATCTGTTTATTTTCTGTTCTAAAGTGAGCTCTTAAGCGCCAGGACCACTTTCTATTCCTCTTTGGTCTCTGTACCTCACAGAGAGCTTAGAATATTGCAGATGCTCAGTGACGTTTGATTAAGTGAATTTTATTGTACATAGTGCAACAGTAGAACAATCTGGTAGCAAGTTTGGTTGTTTTTGCTGTGTTTCTTAACTTCTGTCCCATGTCTGGAATTTGTGGACTGTTTCATTAGCAGGGTTACTAAGCTGGGAACCCTAAAGCACAAGGCAGCTGTATTCAGCTCAGGCAGCCTTAGGAGACTCCGGCATCCCATCCGTCCCTTTTGATCTCCCCATGCAGTGTTGTTATGGTTCCATTTATTTTTCTTTAAATTGTGTACTAAAGCTTTCTAAGCCATAGTGAGATTGAAACTGTTAAAAGTTATTGGATTCCTTGATATTATCTGCTTTTTGAAAGACAATGTAGAGAATGCCTTTCTTTAGAAATGACTATATATGATGGGAACATCTATTTAACCTTACTTGGTTCAACTGTGTTCAGCCTAATTATCATAAAGCACAGACTTATGCACTGTGATGCAGCTGAACCATGTTCAAACCCAGCCACGGCTGGACCTTTTCTTTAGTTATCTTTAGTGCCTGCGGTGCATAAATCTTTATATCTAAATTGTTTTTTTCCTTGTAGGCTGTCCGGAGTACACATGGCTTAGAAGTTCCTTTAAGCCATAAGGGAAAACTGATGGTGACAGAGGAATATATTGACTTCCTGTTAAATATAGCGAATCAAAAGCTGGAGGAGAACAAGAAAAGAATTGGAAGGTAAAAAATGCTACTCCTTTATGCCTAGGTTATCTTTAAAACTATGAATATGTACTGTCTTTAGTTTACAGTCGCAATTGCTTATCTGCTTGTAGTTTTATTATGAACAAAGGAAAGATCAAGCACCGGGGATTTAGAGGATTTAGCTCAGCAGCCTAAGCGCCTGCCTGGCAAGCGCAAGATCACAAGTTCGATCCTTGGTGCCAAAAAAAAAAATAGAAAGATCAAGATGATAGTAAGTCAGACTGTGATGGACGCTAAATGGAACATAAATGGCAGGTTTCCTCAGAGCTAGTTGGATGTGTGGCATTAAAGAGACAAATTAAATGACTCAGGAAAGAGCCCAGCAGCAACAGAACCCAGCAATAGGTTGATGGCAGCAAGGACAGTTGTGTACACCACCCCTTACAGAATGAGAAGTGCCGGGTTACTTTTAAGTCTAATAAATATTTTCATACCTCTGGTTCCTTAATTCCCAACTCTTGTCATAGAGTACATCTAGAATTCTAGTAATTGCCCATCTAGGAAGGAGATAGCTACCAGTTCATACATTTATACCTCTCTTGTTCCTAAACTTTGCCTCTTGGCAATGAAACTTAGCATTACTTTCTTTTTCAATATTCTCCTAAGAAGAGAGTTTATATATAAAAGATTAAATCTTGTACTGCCTTCCATGCACTAAGATAACACCGCTGACCTACTATCACCACTTTGGACATTTTGAGTTACTGAAGAAGAGATGGCTGATTGGATATCATTTATGATTTCCTGTTTTCCTTCTCCTTACACATATGGCCACCACACACCACATCAGTTACTGCCTAAATATCTCTTCAGCCAGTGTCCTGCTTGCTGTCACTTTCTTTACTCAGGACCACTGCAGCAGCCAGATTCACTCGTGGCAGGATGTTTCTCTTATGTATCTTTACTGTGTGATTTGCCGCATCACACAGAAATGTGAATCATGTCTGTAAGGGTCAAAGGAATCTATTGCTTGGCCTGTCTGCTTAAAATTCTTTGAAACCTAATACTTTTTTTTGAATCATCCAAGACCAAAAGTACCAGTGATAGTGGCATAGTGTGGTGAAAAGAACTAATTTTCAGAGGCAGAACTGGATTCAAATCCTGATTCCACCAAGTTACTCCTTGGCTCCATTTTTCTTTAACTCCTGGAAAAAGCATATTTTGAAGAATAATTATTAGTATCCATTAGATCCCATGTGCATAATGAGTGTAATGTCATAATGAGTGTCATAGAATAGCCCTCTCCGCTGGCTCATGGAGAATAAACCTATAACCACAAGACCAGGTTCCTCATCTGAACCATAGAACTCACCAAAGTAATTAGAGTATTTTCTTAATTCTCCCAGTGGTGGTATATAATATGTACCATTTTAGAAGCATTGGAGAGAAATTAATTATATCAGTGGATGTGTTAGAGGATGAGGGCTTTATTTTTAGCTGAACCCTGGTTGAAAAAAAACAAACTGTGGAAATGGGGCCACTAAGTACAAACATTTGCACTACAGCAATGTTTTAGGTAAGCTCTGGAGAGTACCCAGCCAACCCACTGGACCCTAGACTTAAACTACACATGAGCACTTAATCGTGCCATTCCAAAAGGTTACTACATTTGTTAGGTGTGGGACCGTGTGCTAAAACAGGGAGGGTAGTGAATCAGTGTTCTCTGTTTCTTTTCTTGAATTTCAACAAGATTATAAATATAACCCAAGAGCAACTAACTATACACCTGGTGAAGGTAATTGAGTCACATTCACCAACTGTAAAATCAAATTATGCTTCAAATCTATTGACTCAGAAATATATTTTGAGCATATAGTATGCATACTGCTATCACGAGAGCCATGCTCATCATATAAAATCAGGGAAAAATTAAAGAAGGGTAAAAGTGTCTTAAGATACTGATTAGAAGATTACATATGAATTCAGAAAGTGAACAAATTAGCAGGCTCCTTTAGGAACAGCTGTGTATTCTGCCAAATGCAGAGAAAGAGTTACTCTTCTAATGTAGAAAAGGGAAAAAAAAAAATCAAACATGGGGTGATGACTTCCACAATCACATAGAAGAGCTAAAATTGTCTTGTCGTAGGACCAGTTTCATCATTCAGATGTCTATAGGAAAATTGTAAAAATCTCAGAAAACCTAATGGGTAACTTTCCAACAACAAGACATATTCTGGGAACGTGGAAATCTTCAGAGGCAAAATATTCCTTTTTCAAGGAATCTGCTTCTGAAAACATTGGTCCCTAAGCCCACTTCTCAGTAGGAGGAGGCGCACACAGGAGGGGCAGCTGAGTTCCTCCGGGTGCTGGAGCTGCTCAGGGCCAGGCCTGCAAGGAGCAGCCTGCTTGTGAATAGCTGATCTGCAGACTAGAAAGGACAGAGACTGACACCAGGCATAGGAAAATCATTTTACACATAATGGCTTCCAGGTGACAAAGAAGAAGTTTGAAGTTCTGATTCCTAACTACAAGAGGAAGAATTTCTTTGTGTCTATTAATAAGAGGTCAGGACATGAATCAGATGAAACCTCCATCTGACTGTGAGTGGAATTAAAATTAAGCGTGTTCTTCTTTTCATCAGCTATGTAATAAGAAAATGTTAAATAAAACATAGAATAAAAGGGCCGAATATATTGGCATATAATATTGTTAAGAATAAAGAATTCTGAAAGACAAAGTTATTGAATCTATGTCTAGTGGTGGGATTTTTTTAAAAATTCCTTTTTCTGTGGTAAAATATGGGTAACATGAAATTTACCATTCTAACCAGAGGCATTAAGAATATTCCCGTGGTTATGTGACTGCCACCATTGCCATCTCAGAGTGCTTTTCATCTGTTCATCGTAAACAGACTGTGTACCCATTCAACCACACTTCCAGCCCTGGGTAAACACTACCCTATTTTTTGTCTCTGGGAATTTGCCTATTGTAGAGATTTGTTATGGTTCAGGTCTTAAAGACTGCCGCAGAATGTCCCGTGCTCCCATGGCACCAGTGTTCAGAGATATGGGGTTTGAGAGGCGATTGCGTGAGAACTCTGTCCTCACGAACAGATTCCTCCATTACAGATTCACAGCTTGCTGGACTTGTGGAGAGAGACCTTGGTGTGAAGCAGTCTCTCTCCCTCCTTCCCTCCCTCCTTCTCTCCTGCCTGCCTTCCAAGAAGCGAGAAGCTTGCTTGCCACAGGCTCCCTGCCCTTGCATCTGCCTCACCTCAAGCCCACAATGATCATTTGCCAAAATACGTCTCCTTAAGTTGTTCATCTCAGGTGCTTTTCACAGTAAGGAAAGCTAGCTAATACTATCGTTCCCGTAGATGACCCGACCCCATACATTTGCCCTTTTATGTGTGGGTTGTCTTCTTGACTTATCTACTCTGGAGCATTTCCTTTGTGCTGAAGGCTGAAAATTACTTCCCTGGATTTATAGACACTTTGCTTATCCTTTGAGCTGGCAGTGGACAGGTGACTGTTTCCACCTTTGAGCTATTAAGAATAATGCTGCTCCAAACAGTGTCCAGTGTCTCTGCAATCGCTGCTTTCAGTTATTTTGTGCATATGCCCAGAAGAAGAGCTGTTGCATTGTATGGTAATTCTCCATTTAATTCTCTGAAAGCTACAAGACTGTCTTCCACAACAGCTGTACCTCTTTAACATTACCACCAACAAGGAGAAATCCGAACCATATCCTTGTCAATGCTTAGTATTTTCTGACTTTTTGACAATAACCAAGCTAGTAGGTTAAGAAGCAGCAGCTCCATATAGTCTTACTTTGCAGCCATTCCCTACCAATTAGTAAAATTCGACATCTTTTCATGTCAGCCATCCGTATTCTTTAGAAAAATGTCTGTTTAATGTCTGTGGGTCTTTTACCTATTTTGAATTAAGTTGTTTGGGACCTTGTTGTTGACTGTAGAAGTTCTTTATATATTCTAAATATTAACCATTTATTGGGCGCATGATTTGCAGGATTTTCCCCATTCTGAGGATTGCCTTCTTCAGTAGTATCCTAAAGAGCTTTAATTTTTATGAAGTCCAGCTTTTATCTTTTGTCTTTTGTTGCTTGTGTTTTTGATGTCTTACCCAAGAAATCATTGCCAAATTTGATATTGTGCAGCTTTTCCCGTTTTTTTCCTAAGAATTTTAAAATTTCACTTCTTGGCCTTTAGGTCTTTGAGTTACTTAAAAGTTAACCAATGGCTGATTTTTAACACTGGTAAGCATACGACTCCGTGGAGGCCTCACAAAGCCTTTGTTGGCCATCCTGTTTTCTAGTAAACTGCTCTCCACATTATCTACAAACTCCTACATACTCCTGTGTGATCCAGCCCAGTTTTGTTCTCAATCTCTCCCAGTTTAGATAGATGGACCTCCTCTGTTCTTTGCAGCAAGGATTATCTGATATTTCTAGGATAACCTTTACTCCATCACAGAAGTGCTAGGTTTTCATGAGGATAAACAAGTATTTTATTTTCTTTCAAAAATACACAGAGGAAGCTATAAAATATGAGAGACAGCTGGGCACTGCAACTTAGAAGCATATTCAAACGAATTCTGCTCGCACACCTAAAATAGTAGCATAATGAGGGTTCAGTCAGTCATGGAAGTAACTCCTTCAACCTGGGAAGTGGCACATACCCTACAAAGGCACAAGACACTATTAGGTTTCAAAAAGAATTTAAATTTGGTTGTGATGCACAAATGTAATCAGTGTAAAGGATGCCTCGTGGCAGGAGACAGTGAGCCATGGGTAAGTGCAGGCGGGATCTTTGTGGGAGCCCTGGGAAGGGAGCTGCACGATGGGGAGAAGGAAAGGCAGCAGTGGAGAACGAGGAGTGGCAGTGCTTATGCCCTAAGTAGGCGACACACCCAGAAGACAGAAGAGAGGATTTCTGTCCCATTGCTGCAGCCCTTCCTGGCTTCCTTGTGGATTTCTATTTTTCTTGTACCTTTCCTTGTTCTTCAGGATTCTGTTCCTGGGTGTGGGTTCCGCTACTTCTGCTAGAGGGATAGGTCTTACGCGTGTCAACAGGAGAGATGCACCCCTGGTGAGCTCCTACTACTTTATCAGATGTTTTTCATGGCTTGCCAATTGTGGCTTTACAGCCCTGCAACTGTCATTAAGCCATGACATCTTTTCAGCACAGATCATGTTCCTTGCCTGTGTTTCCAGTACCAGGCACAGGCCTGTCACTCGCATGTCATTTTATGAAGTAGAACACTAGTACTAAATCAGCTAAAATCCAAATATATGCATAGCAGAAAAGTCACCTGTGATATTTATCATTGCTATCAGCCTAAATGGGTGTGCAAGTGGGCCTAGATTTTCTCCACTTTATGTTCCTGTTTCAGAAGCAGGAGGATTTCTAGCTTTTCTTGCAGACAATTCCCTGACCCTGAAAACCAATTCATTTTTTTTCAGGGTTACCTAAAGTTCTCTCTCTTGTAGAGAGTTAAGTAGAAGTTGTCTTACAGTGTGATGATCTAGACTAAAAAAATAGAAAAACTGAAGAAAATTTGGTTTTCTTTCCTTTGGGGGATGTATCATTGCCTGAATGTACTTTTTTATTTATTCAGAGTTCTCTCTGTTGCCTGTAGCTAACAAAAATGCACTTCAAGTATTGTTTTTTTAGAATGCTGTGTAAAGGGTCATAGTGTGAGGCGAGCACATATGATTGCAAAACAGACTTCGGACTTATTCTCAAAGGATTTCTCTTCAAAAAGGGAAAAGTAATATTTGAAGTTGTTATACTTGATTTTCAGCAAGGAAGGACCTTTGTGGCATTTTACCAGTTATCTTTTGTCAACCTTAAGACACAGCTTTGAATAGTTAGATTCTTTAATGGGAAATTAAAGTAAGGCACACAATATATTTTTAAATGTGTTTGAAAAGAAATTGTCTACAACCTGTTAATTCTTTGTGATATTGAAAAGATAATTCAGTTCTGCCTTACTTGGGATCAAGTGCAAGCAGAACACTTGGGCTTTCTTGGGATAAAGTGCAAACCAGAAAAAAACACCTGGCCAGGTAGGCCTAAGGTTCATGGGGAAGCTTACCTCTGAAGCACAGCAGCTCAGCAGCTCAGGATGAGAGAAGGGCAATCTCCCTCTCGTAGCATGCCCAAATCCATGTGTCAGGTCATCCCTTGTGGGCAGTGTGGAAGAGAAGAAAGCCAGTCCCGGAAATCACCCAAATGGTGACAGGACTTGGAGGGAAAGATGGTACCGAGTGTAGTTTCCATAATATATAAGGAACTGAGCGAGATGAGGAGACGGCTGTGAGGAGTGGGGAAGCAGCTTAGCCTGGGAAAGAGTAGATGAACCTATTGAATTCTGAGATCAACTCTCAACCCTGTGGTAGCTGCAATACAGACAGCAAAAGCAGCTCCCACTGAGAGGAGTGACAGGAAATAGTGTCACTGGGAAGCCAAGTTTTAGTCAAGGACCTAAAGAGTGCATTGAAGGAAAAAGATGTCATGATGGAACAAGGCTCAAATGTTACTTGTCCATGTGTTTTAGTCCTTTCCTATACCTCCTTCGTGGACATTGATTTATTTATTGAGTAAATTTTTTAAGCATCTATTATATACTAAGTGCAGTAAAGTGCATAAGTTCTTAGAACACAGATACGTAGTAATCTTGCAGTGTGTATAGTAGAGCTGTGTGGGTTATTTGCAAGTCGTGGATATTTGTGCTTTTAGAATTTTAGAGCCATTCCAAGTAGAACTCAACCTGTTCATTGAATTACTAGTAACACATGCCTATTATCCAAACCAGTTGAAAGGCTGAAGCAGGAGGATGGCAAGTTTGAGGTCAGCCTGTGCAATCTAGCAAGACTCCGTCTCAAAATTTAAAAAATAATAATAAAAAGTGTTGGTGTATAGGTCAGTGGTAGAGACCCCATGGATCCAATCCCAAGGAAGGAAGGAAGAAAGAAGGAAGAGATCCATAGCTACCTTTTTTATTCAGTATTTGTTCATTTGTTTATTCTGCACATCTTTACTGAGTGTTCCAGCCCTATAAAAGAATTTAAGAAAACAAGTCAACAGGCCCTTGGTCTCAGGAGGTCTGTGCTCCATGAAAAGGGTCATTATCAGGAAATCCAGCCAGACACTGCGCTCAGTAGCCACCTGTCTCCTGTGTACTCCTCTGATACCCCCACCAAGCACACAATAATAATACCACCTTTTATAAATGAGGAAACCAAAACAGTGAAGTTAATTGGAACTCAGAGACCTCAGCTTCCCCACTAGGCACTGATGTCTGACACATGCAAGGCACCTGCTGCCTGGCCACATGCACCAAAGGCTCCTGTGTTGAGCAGAGTCACAGGGTGACATCAGCTTAGAGAAGCAGGGACACTCATTGCCAGGGAGCTTACGATGATTGTGGCTCAAAGTTAATATTAAAATCTAATGGAAAAGTGAAAGAAGGGAAACAATAATTTACATTTTAAAAGATCAGATAGCTACTAATGAAAAAATATTCCACTTACGAAGAAATGAAAATTAATGAGATGCCATTTTCACCCATTAAAGTAGGGCATGTTTTATCATCACGTCTATGAATGAAGTCATCCCTTCCAAGTACTATTACTAGAAACATATGTTTTGAACATTATTCTAGAAAATACGCAGTATTGGGGCTGGGGATTTAGCTCAGCGGGATAAGCGCCTGCCTTGCAAGCAGGCAGTCGTGAGTTTGATCCCTGGTACCGATAAAAAGGAAAAAGACAAAAAAAAAAAAAAAAAAAAAAAAAAAAAAAAAAAAAGAAAGAAAGAAAGAAAGAAAGAAAATACGCAGTATTGATCAAGAGTCTTAAAATGTCCGTGCCACTGATGGCGAAGCTTTTAGAGCTTTCAGTGATACAAAGAGCCTGCTGCAGCATGCATGCCGTAGGTTCGCCACCAGTGCTCTATATCTTTTAACCATGTAATTGCGCTTTTAGATACCTGTTTTAACGAAACAACCAGAAATCCAGACCACATCATTTTTCAGAAGTGTTTATCATGCTGTCATTGGTATTAAGGAAAATTTGGAAATAAAAGCCAGTCTTGGTAATGTTACTGTTCAAAGTAATACATTGTAGTTTATTTTGGTAATTTGAAAAATGCTTTCAATAATATTAAACTTGAAAAAGAATGTGAAACTTTGTATTGGTATTCTGATAGTGTAAAAAATAGCTACATGTGTACTAATATATTAATTCAGACTACATTAATAAAATAGGAAAAAATTGAAAGTGGCTATTTCTAAGTAGAGATGACCTAAATTTGTGTAACTTCATTTTTCAAATTCTCTCAAGTCTTTTATGTGTATGATCTTTTAAAATAAAGTAATAATTTCCTTTTTTTTTTTTTTTTTTACCCTCTTGGCTTAACGTTTGGGATAGAAATTGAGGTTGGGTGCAGTGGCAGAAATTGATTCCAACCCGATTTTCAGCAATATTATTAAAGAATTGAAAAGACATTCATTTTCCTAGTCCAACCCTGATAAAGACACAAAACATACTGTCCCTCCAATTATTTTACACTTATAAAGGTAAATATAAGAAATTGTCAAATTTTGTAAGTTCCAGGTGTGTTTCAGTCATCGATTTGCAAATACATGATAAAACAGTAGGATTTAATTCTTCACAGGTTTTACAACTGTCTACAACGTGCTTTGGAAAGAGAAACAGTGACTAACTTACATCCCAAGATCAAAGAGAAAAATAAACCATCTTCTTCTCCTAAGAAAGAAAGAAACACAGCCAACGCACAAGGAAAATGTAGCCCTGAAGAAAATGAAAAAGAAATTGAAAAGGAGGGCTATGAGGAGCTAGGAATCAGTGGTACTATCTTCCCTGAAGATTACTAAGATTTAATTCTGAAGTATTTTGATCGAATATTGTTTGTAATAGATTTTATAATGCTCTTTATAAGAGCTTTTGTAGGCCTGGTGATGTAGCTCAGTGGCACAAATGCCTGCCTGGCAGTTACAAGGTCCTGAGTTCGATTGTTGGGACAATAAATAAATAAATAAAACAGTTTTTAGTTGTCAAGTGTATTAGTTGTTGAGTGTTCCTGTCAGAAAAGCAAGATCTAATTTCTCAGAATTTTGGAGAAGCCCATTTTGCAACCACAGGTGGCCTTTTAAAAATACCTTTGTATACTGTTTGCTGATTAAATATTGCCCATTTTGGGCATACAACAAATCGCAAAAATAAAATTACAATTTTTAGTACCTCTCCTTGTGTTTCAGGTTTCACTGCTATGACACAGGAGAACAGTACAATATCCTTTCAAGGCAACTTTAACATTTGGGACATTTAAGTAAAAATGTTAGTAATATTTCTCACTTTTAACTTTGAAGCCTCCAGCTTTTAGAGGAAGGTCAGAGGCTGCTTCCTTTGCTAAGGAGTCCAGTGACAAGTTTTTCCCTCTTTTTGAACCTTTTGAATAAAACAACAGATACTCTTATTGTTCAGGACAAAATTCTTCAACCTTCTTTTTCTATTATTTCTCCCAGACCAGAGTTTGCCACTGGCCTGGTCTCTGCAACAAGTGACCACACTTTACTTGAGCCTGATCAGGTGGTCAGAGAGGGGCTTCCTAGCGGACTGGACAGATGTGGGACAGGACAGTTGTGTTGCAGAAAACCGTGAGGATCAGAAGCTGTGAGTTTGAATTCTGAGGCTTCACAACAGGCAGAGGAAATTTCTTGATATCTGAGCTCTTTCCTTTTATACGTAGTAAGTCTAGTTCCTGCCTGACTTATAACCCTCAGAACAGTAGCAGGATCCAGTTAAAAATGTGGAAGCATTTACTGGTAGATGACAAGGCAGATATGTCCCTAGTTATGTTTGTTATAGAGTGAAACTCTTTCATACTGTATTCTCAGAGTATACCTGGTCAAAAGTATTATATGTTTGAAAGGAAATTCTTAGACATAGAATTAATAAATGATAAGACCAGAATGTCAAATACAAAAAATGTAAGGTGACACTGAGGTCTAAGTATAGCATTTCCTAATTTTTTTTGTAATTCACCAAGGCTAACATCACTTAAATTCTGTCTGGATTGGCACCCCTGCTGCTTGCCTTTAGACAGCGTTTTGTACTTTCAGTTTTAAAATAGACCGATTTCATAGCCCTCTACTGTCTTCTCATTAAATCTGCAGGGATGATACCTGGCATTCTTGTCATTTTCTACGAACTGCTCATTTTTTTAAATATAAAGTAGGAATATGTTACTTCCTGACCTAATTTCTGTTAATAGTCCCACAATATGTTGAGATTCTTCGAATCCAATTCCAGCCCCCAGTTTCTTGTTTCATTGTTCCAGGGGGAACTTCCTCTGTGTCCCCATTTTCCTTGCTACCAAGATATATTGGTCACTTGTATCCTTTAGAGGTCTCCTAAATCATCTCTTTGTTTATAGAGAATCCTTTTTTTCTTAAAAGTTTAATGGTAAACACACTAATAATTTTCTTTAACACTTATCACACCTTAGAATCATCTTTAGAACTTTTACAAACTACCCAAGATTCTCCTGTGTGAGTCATCAGACATTGCGTATAGGAGATGTGATCAAAAATATGTGAACACTTACGTCTTTAAAATGGATTGCAGTAAAATACACATTATCATTAATCCCCCTCAATGTAGTCCCACTGACTTGAAATACATTGATCCCATCATTCTCGACCCTTTCAGAAGCAGTTCTGGAAGTCCTCTTTTTCATCTTTTGTTTCATTTTCATGCCTTCCTCTGGCCAGGCTCCCCATCTATGACCAGTGGCAGCAAAGATTTACCTAACAGTATGGTTTTGGGGACCCAAAAGGTCAGGACTCTCTTGGAGCTAAGACAAAGACTTCTCTGGTCTGCCAGTAATTTTATTAGATTTTCAACAAATTTGAGGGGCAATGAAAGGATTAGCCAAGTCAAAAAGTATGAAAATGAACACGGCCTTGAGAAGCTAGAGCACAGACATTCTCAGGCAGTAAATTGGCTAATTAAGAGAACTGTTGCAACTCTAAGGCTGTCAATTTTTGCCCTTTGACTGTAGCAAAGAGCCAGAAGTTGTGTGATGCCAGGTCTGGTAAATGAAGTGCCTGAGGACACGCCGTGATGTTATGTTTGCCTTCCCATTGGATGGCGCTTGGTAACATTCACCTTGTTTGATCATACTTCATAAAGAACAAAAGAGAGGGAGCCCCTTTGCAGAAAGGGGCAAGAATTATGGCACATGTGTTTGAACAGGGGAGTGTTTTGAGGGGATCCATGGCAATGTGTTTTTTACTATAATAAATTTTTAAAAATTTAAACATTCACTTTTCCAGTCACCCACCCCTTGTATAATTTTAAGATCGCAAGTTCTCACTGAATGGAAGGGTAATAACTGGACATTCCCGTATGTCCATCTGTGACCTTCCTTCCCCATCCCCCTCACCACCACCTTCTCATCCATTCTAGGAGACTTAGCTCATCAGACAGCGATTCCCGCCTGTCTTGGCCTTGCCTGTCCTATAGCTTTGGCTAGCTGGTAGACCTCCGCAGTGGACCTTTTACCTTCTAAACTTTTTCTCTCGTTAACCTTCAGTTTAAGGCAGATTTTTGTTTGAATTTTTTTCTTGTTGTCTGAGCCATACACATGTTTGCATGGCTGGCTCTTCCATGACCTGGTCTAGAGTATAAGGTAAGAAAAATCAAACAAACACACAAACAGGGACTCTCCCCCATAGCTGTGTTTCAGATCCTAAAGGCTACTTGCTTCTGAACCTTTCAGAGTCCTATGTTTGTTGTCTGTGAAATATCTAGAGTTTTAATTGCAGTTGGTGGGAAGAATAAGGAAAAACATACCTAACCTGTCTTCCAGAAGCAGAAAGCTAATGTGTTTTCAAATGTGTTATGTATAATATCAAATTGTTGGGGCATTGTTGAATACTCTTAGAACCCACCAGCAGACCATGGATCCTTTATTTGTATGCTGTGTTCCATGTCCCAGCTTTTGGGCCTTGGTCACTGTTCCTTTAGGTCACTGGCTCCTCTTCATCTTGAAGAAGATAACGTAAAACCCAGATTCATGTTTCCTAATCCCCTATATCTTACACGCATGCACACACACACACACACACACACACACACACACACACACATCCATTGTCTCGTGGCCAATCCTGGCAACTCCCTTGCCCAGGAATCAGAAAGACTCAGCTGTGTAACTGTCCTCTAATCTCCCAGCAGGACCACTGAGACTTCACCTGAGACCTTACTATGTCGTCAGCAGCTCCTGGCAGCACTGCTGAGTAAATCACATGCACTGGAATGGTGTTTTCTGCAAGAACCTGACCTGAATACATTATTAAAAAGTGATGGTATAAATCTATTTTAAATAAATATTTATATTAAGTAACTGTTGATACTTTAATGTTGGAAATTAGCATTGTAGTTTGTATGCTAGAAATGATATTGCTATTGATTTAAACTTATGACACAAGCGGAATGTGAACTAAATTTTGGATGGAAATGACATAGATTTAGAAATTCTTTTAAAGGTGTGTCCCTAACAATTTCTGATCTTCACTTTTATAATATGTACTGTCACACCTCTGTTGAAAATCTAATAAAAATTTGTTAAAAATCTAATAAAAAATGGATTCAAAGTAAGGGAGAACAAGGTAGTTGAAGAAGTAAGGGCCAGGGATTTAGCTCAGTGGCTGAAGTGCTTGCTTGGTAAGCTCAAGGTCATGAGTTAGATTCCTGTACCAAAAAGAAAAAAAAAAAAGGGACTTCCTTTAGATAGTATTTTATTTAGGTCTTAAAGAGTAAGTTGCAGGTTCACTCTGGAAAAATCCAAGAAAAGCCTTGTAGATAGAAGGAATGTGGAAGGAAACTGAGTTACTCCCTGAGGAGGTGGTGGATCCAGTGATGTGAATATTTCAGAAAAGCTGAAATACAGCACACGGTATGCAATGAGTCAGCATAAGGCAGGCGGTGAGTCCGCATTACATCTATAGCTGCACATCAGATACCTGCAGCTAGAGCATGCTTGGGTTCCAAAACCAGCCTCAGACCAGAGTTTGTTTGAACAACTTATAGAAATGAATCTGAACATGTTAGTGACAATCTTGAAGACAGCAGTAAGAAAAAAAGTTACCTGAGCATAGGTTACAGTGCATCTATACCCTGGGTTTGGGGTATGCACATTTGAAGAAGAATAAGCAGGAACTTCCAATGTATTAACTAGTTAGTCCTCTGTCCTGGCAATGTATACAGCTGTGCAAATTGAACTGTACTACCTGGAGGGGCCATGCCTCTAACTGAAGTCTCAGGGGGCACTCCTTGAAGTTGTGCAGTGCACATTATTAGCTATGAATTTACGCAGCAGGCTTGCCAGAATGGGCCTTTGGGCAGGAAAGAAAACTCACAGTTTCAGAGTATCTGGAACATTTCTTGTTATTTAATGAATGGAATATGAAAATGTCTACCAGACACGTAAATGAAAAGAGAAACAAATAAAATCAATCCCTAAATAAGAACAGTAGGGAAAGGATGCGGAAGGGTATCCCTGATGAAATGATGTATTTTGCAGTTTTAAAGTATTTCTAAGAGAACTCTATCTACTGACTTTTCTTCATTCAGTCAAGCTGAACCCAAGAAAACCATGCATTACAAAGATTCCATAAATTAATTATATGGATGAGAGTCTGGAAGACAAAAGGGACTGCCTACCCCCTTTACCTCAGTAACAGTACTACTCTGTTTCTCAGCTGGTAGAGAGGAAGTCAAGGTGCTGGTTATAAATGCACGAATTCACTCTTTAACATCTCTTAATGAGGTACTATATTATATATGCAATCCGTATGCCAGGTTGTTAATATTAATAACTGTAGTACAACAATTGGTTAATAACATACAAGACTGCCCATTGAGAGTTACCCTGTGGCTTGCTTTCATTGTAACTGAACCATCTAAATAACGGGAATTTTTTTCCTTTGAGGCAAACATTTATTCCCATGGTCTGAATTCTCCAAATCATTTACAAGTTA